AAGAGATTGTTTCTTACTAAAAATTCAAACATGGAGGTGAGCAGAACAAGATCTATCCACCCCCCAGGCATCACCTGCTTTGCGTAAGCTCGGCGCAGGAAGCCGGAAGCCTTGGGTAAAGGAACGGCCTTCCTGTAGCGTGTGCTTTCTGAGTCCGCTCCCTGGGTCTCAGTGTCCACACCTGCGAAGGGGGGGCTGGGCCTTCCACCCCTGGCTTACGCTAGGCCAGTGGTGGGCAAACTCACTAGCCCACAGAGCCAAATAGCAACAGGACAGCAACTGACATTTCTTTGGAGAGCCGCATATTTTAAACGTAAACTTCTGACGCCGCTTCTTCAACTTAGACTGGCCCAGGCCGTGGTATTTTGTGGAAGAGCCACAGTCAAGGGGCCAAAGAGCCGCATGTGGCTCGCGAGCCGTGGTTTGCTGACCACGGCTCCAGGGGCTGAAAGGGACTGATTTGTGCAGCTGGATTCCTCAGAGCCAGGCCCACCTGCCCCCTCCCTCCCTCCATGTACCTCCCTCCCTCCTTCCATCTTCCTCCCTCGCTCCCTCCTTTCCTCCCTCTCTCCCTCCCTCCCTCCATCTCCCTCCCTCGTTCCCTCCTTTCCTCCCTCTCTCCCTCCCTCCCTCCATCTCCCTCCCTCTCTCTCTCCTCCCTCGTTCCCTCCTTTCCTCCCTCTCTCCCTCCTCCCTCTCTCCTCCCTCCCTCCCTCCCCCTCCCTCCTTCCCTCCTTTCCTCCCCTCTCTCCCTCCCTCCCTCTCTCTCCCTCCCTCCTCCTCTCTCCCTCCTTTCCTCCCTCTCTCCCTCCCTCCCTCCATCTCCCTCCCTCTCTCCCCTCCTCCCTCTTCCCCTTCCTCCCGCCTCCCTCCCTCCCTCCCTCCCTCCCTCTCTCTCCCTCCCTCGTTCCCTCCTTTCCTCCCTCTCTCCCTCCCTCCCTCCATCTCCCTCCCTCTCTCTCCGCCCTACCTCCTTTCCTCCCTCCAGCCAGCTCCCCCCCCTCTCCTCCACTCCCTCCTCCAGCTCCCTCCCCTCGTCTCTCCAGTCCCGCGTTTCCTCCTTTCCTCCCTCTCTCCCTCCCTCTCTCTCCCTCCCTCGTTCCCTCTCTCCCTCCCTCCCTCCATCTCCCTCCCTCCCTCCCTCCCTCTCTCTCCCAGGCAACGACACCAACACCTCCCTGTGCCTCAACGCCACGGTGTGCGAGGTCTTCCGGAAGGGCTACCTGATGCTCTACCCGTTCAGCACCGAGTACTGCCTGGTCTGCTGCGCGGTGCTCTTCGTCATGTGGAAGAACGTGGGCCGCCGCCTGGCCCCCCACGCCCACGCGAGCGCCCCCCCGGGCGCCCCGGCCTTCCGCCTGCACGGCGCCATCTTCGGGCCGCTGCTGGGCCTGCTGGCCCTGGTGGCGGGCGTGTGCGTGTTCGTGCTCTTCCAGATCGAGGCGAGCGGCCCCGCCATCGCGCGCCAGTACTTCACCCTCTACTACGCCTTCTACGCGGCCGTGCTGCCCGGCATGAGCCTGGCCTGCCTGGCGGGCACCGCCATCCATGGGCTGGAGGAGCGGGAGCTGGACACGCTCAAGAACCCCACGCGCAGCGTGGACGTGGTGCTGCTCATGGGCGCGGCCCTGGGCCAGATGGGCATCTCCTACTTCTCCATCGTGGCCATCGTGGCCACGCGCCCCCACGAGCTGCTCAACCGCCTCATCCTGGCCTACGCGGTGCTGCTCATCCTGCAGCACATCGCCCAGAACCTCTTCATCATCGAGGGCCTGCACCGGCGCCCGCTCTGGGAGGCCCCGCCCGAGAAGCCCGAGGCCGAGCCCCCCCGCAGGGGCTCCCTGCTGGAGCTGGGCCAGGACCTGCGGCGGGCCTCCCGGGCCTACATCCACTCCTACAGCCACCTCAACTGGAAGCGGCGGGCGCTCAAGGAGATCTCCCTCTTCCTCATCCTCTGCAACATCACAGTGAGTGGCCGCCCCCCACCCCAGAGGCGTAGGGGCGGAGCTGGCCCAGAGAGCCTCATTCAGGAAGGGCTGGTTCAAGGCGCCCTCGGCGCACATGGACTGTCCCAAGAGTGACGGGCTTGTTGTCCCTTGGATTGTCAGGGGCACTGGCCTCTTCCCAACCAGCTCTAGGACACGCGAGAGCAGAGAGTGGCCCCCGGCTTCCTGCGGGGGACCTGGCACGAATGAGCGTGCCATGGCCCGGCCGAGGGCACTTCATAAACAGCGGTGTGAGGTGTCTCCCCTCAGGAAGCTCCCGTCCAGCTGGGGAGACACCGGGGGAACAATTAGGGAACTGCCGAATAAGGAAGTGTCCGCTGAATTCAGTCCAAAGAAAGAGGTCAGAAAGAGCTCCTGGTAGCTGCTGAGGATGGTCGCTCCTTCCTATAATAGCTCAGCATCTCCTGGGTCGTCTCGGTAACCATGCAGCAGGCGCCACTGCTGTCCCGGTTCACAGACGAGGACACTGAGGCTCGGGCCGTCGGCCCTGCCGAGGTCCCGCCGCCTGCGTGGCAGTGCTGGGCCATTCAGGGCCGTGTGAGCTCATGGTGGTCAGGACGGCGTGGAAACACCCTCCAGGTTGAAACCCCTGGTCCGGGCAGATATAGAGGCTGGCTTGGCCCTCAGGAGCAGCCGGGCCTCCAGGCAGGAAGTGTGGGCCAAGGAGGCCTCATGAAAGTGTGAGCTGGGCTTTGAGAAACGGGTAGGGTTTGGACGGAGGCAGAGCTAGGGTCGAGGGGCAGAGACCAGCTGAAGAATGAAGCAGGAGAAGAAGGTGGTTGAGATCAAGGCCCAGGGGTACCGGCTTGGCAGAGCAGACTGTACCACTGGGGGTGGCACTGGGAGGTTCAGGACCCGTCGAAGCTCCGCTGGGTGAGAGGGATCGGGAGGGTGGGCTGGCTCTGAAGGCCACGGGTGAGGACTGCTGCAGGAGCCGTGGCTCCGGGCCTGCCTCCCTGAGCCGAGTGCCCCCTCCTCCCTCCCCAGCTGTGGATGATGCCTGCCTTTGGCATACACCCCGAGTTTGAGAACGGCCTGGAGAAGGACTTCTACGGCTACCGGGTGTGGTTCACCATCGTCAACTTCGGCCTGCCGCTGGGCGTCTTCTACCGCATGCACTCCGTGGGGGGGCTGGTGGAGGTCTACCTGGGGGCCTGAGGCCACCGAGGCGCCCACCCTGGCAGCACCCCAAAATGCAGCCCGGAGTCTGAGCAGACGCCCCGTTCCAGGGGCTCCCCCAGCGCCTCCTTTTCCCCAGAGCCCCCTCGCTAAGGGGAGTGGGGGGGAGAGTGGGTTACTCTTCACAGCCCCAGGCCAAGGGCAAAGCCTGAATACTGAGCTTCTGATGCCCACCCTGAGGACAGGGCACATGCCTGGCCCTGCCCCCTCCTCTTTTACCCCCCTCCCGCCAGGAAGCCCCACAGCTGCTCTGGGAGGGCCAGCCCAAAATGACCGAGTCCAGGAGCTTGGGGAGGGGCGCCCCTACCCAGCCAGGCTTCTGGGTCTGCCTCCTGCTGGTGGAGGGGCATGTGGTCCAAGCACGCCCCGGGGCACCCTGGGAGCAGACAGCAGGCCCAGGGCACCCTGGGAGCAGACAGTCAGGCAGCCTGCCCTTCCTCCCCACACAATCTAATGAGCCCATTAATTAGCTGCCAGGCAAGGCTCAACAGCCCTCTCCCGCTGCCATAAACCCTGCTTGTTTGATTGATTGCGTTCACTGTGCTTGTTTGATTGATTGCGTTCAGGCTGCTGCCTGGCGTTTGTTCCCAGGGACAGGCTGCCCTCGGGGACGGGGAGGGGGGGGGGGACCGTCCGGGGCAGAGCTGTGGGCTGTGGGCTGTGGGGCTGGGACGGTCCTGTTTCGGGGTCAGCAGAGGTCGAAACCAGGCCTTGTCTGATCATGGGAGGAGGTGGAGAGAGAGGGGCCAGTGCTCTCTCTCTCTCTCTCTCTCTCTCTCTCTCTCTCACACACACACACACACAGACACACACCTGTACGCACACCCTCTCGGACTCCGGGCCCAGGTGACTTCCGGAGCTGGCTCCCACACGGCCGTGCCGCGGGTCCCCAGGCCTCTGAGCCATCAGGAAGCAAGGGCGGAGATGGCAGCCCATCCATCTCCCTGAGCCCAGTGCAAACACCCGGCCGCCCAGGGTGAGGCGGGCGAGGCCCCGGGAGGGCGGCCCCGGGCCCCTCCCCGTGACATTGGCAACACAGGCCAAGGCCCGGGACACCCCACCCCTTTAAGTGGCCGCCTGGGGCCAGCAGAGCCCAGGGGGGTCGCGCCGCAGCTGGGAGGTGGGCCCCCTCTCCTGTGGGCTCTTCCTCTGTGGCCACAGCCCGGGGGCCCAATGCCCCCCCAATGCCCCCCCTCACCCCAAGAAAATGACCAACACGCGGATTCACTCTGAGAGGCAGAAGCCTCAGCTCCCTCCGAGCACAGAGAGCCAGGCCGGGGACAGGGTTTATTGTGAAAAGTGTAAATCCGATTGTACACAGCAGATTGTACTGACACAGGGGGCGAGGGGGCCGGAGCCCGGAGCCGGGAGGACGAGGGGAGGATGGAGGGGTGGCGTCCTGCCCCTCACAGGTCCCCCAGGCAGTGGGTGGGGGTGGGGAGGACTGAATGGCTGCCCCCTCCTCCTTCCCTTTGCCCCCGTTACTGGATATAAGAGGGGCCAGGCTGCATCCACTGACCAGGAAGAAGAGAGCAGGTTACCCTTGACACCCCACGCCAAACCCCTGAAATGCTTGGGGTTCCCCCAGCCTCCCCCAGCCCCCTGGCCACCACCCTCCCCCCAGGCCCGGCAGTGAGCCGGGCGCACAGGTGGCTTCAGTGGGAGGCTGGGGCTCCCTCACGCCCAGGTGCCCCGGGGAACAGCCCACAGCTCCCTCAGGCCGCGCCGAGGGCACCGGTTCCCATGGAGACAGGTCTGAGGGGCAGCAGAGGGGGGGGAACTCTGGCCAGGGGGATGGGCGCTCCCGAGCGGGTGGGGGAGTTCGGGAAGGTCGGAGCCGATCCCCGGCCTCTGGGAGCTGCCACCGGGCTCCGTCTCTGCCAGCCCCAGCCTGGTCATAGCACGTTAAAGCTCCGAACGGTCGGTGGGTCGGGGTGTGGGGGGAAGGATGGGGGGTCCAGGGCCCCCCACCCTCTCCTGGCCCCTGGCCCTGCAGGTTTCCATCTTCACACCCGCTGGATCTCAAACAGCTTCACGTCCGTGTCATACCAGACGGGCGGGTCCACATTCCTGCGGAGGGAGTGGGCTGTCACCGGCCGAAAAGACCAGGAGATGCTGGGCAGTGACACTGCCCAGACCCCTCCCGGCCTAGTGCCCACCCCAGTGCCTACCCCAATGTCCCATCCCACCCCCACCCCAATGTCCACCCCAATGTCCCACCCCACCCCCCACCCCAATGTCCACCCCAACCCCCACCCCAATCCCCACCCTAATGCCCATCCCACCCCCACCCCAATGTCCACCTCAATCCCCACCCCAATGTCCCAACCCCCACCCCAATGTCCACCCCAATGTCCCACCCCACCCCCCACCCCAATGTCCACCCCAACCCCCACCCCAACCCCCACCCCAATCCCCACCCTAATGCCCATCCCAATCCCCACCCCAATGCCTACTTCAATCCCCACCCCAATGTCCCACCCCAATGCCCACCCCAATGTCCCACCCCACCCCCCACCCCAATGTCCATCTAGATCCCCACCCCAATGTCCCACCCCAATGTCTCACCCCAACCCCCACCCCAATGCCCACCCCATCCCCTACCCCAATCCCCACCCTAATGCCCATCCCAATCCCCACCCCAATGCCCACCCCAATCCCCACCCCAATGTCCCACCACAATGCCCACCCCAATGTCCCACCCCACCCCCCACCCCAATGTCCACCTCAATCCCTACCCCAACCCCCACCCCAATGTCCCACCCCAACCCCCACCCCAACCCCCACCCCAATCCCTACCCCAATCCCCACCCTAATGCCCATCCCAATCCCCACCCCAATGCCCACCTCAACCCCCACTCCAATGCCCACTCCAATGCCCACCCCAATGTCCCACCCTGGACCCTGGGTGCCCATCCTCAACCAGACAGGACTGCCCCAGTTGACTGTCTTGGCATTACCCCCACCACGATGGTGGGGCCCAGTGCTGAGACGCTGATGAGCCCCACTGGGCAGACCCCCCAGCTGGTGATGGCCATCCCTCCTGGGCCCACCTCAGGTAGATGACGCCCCACATGTAGGTGCGGAACCACATGGCTGTGCCCGAGTTGGCCTGGTACTTCCGGATGAGGATGGGGTGGGGCACGGGCAGCAGCCCCACCAGGGTGCCATGCTGCAGGAAGCGCAGGATCTCCGACTCGTCCGTCAGGCCCCTGCAAGGTGGGGTGTCCTCAGCACACACGTGGAAACCCCCCATGCAGGCCAAGGGGAGTATGGGGCTCACCCTGGGCCCCCAAGGCCCATGCCCCCCATCATACCCCCACCCGAGCCTGGACTGGCCCTCCCCAGAGCCCACCTGTCCCCCCGCCCCCCCCCCCCCAGGCCTCACTTGTCGATGCAGATCTTCTCCACCTGGGGCACCAGCACCTGGAGCAGCCGCATGATGGTCTGCAGCGGCAGCTTGGCCTTCCAGGAGAGGACCTGGGGGAGGGACGGGGCGCCTGGCACTGGGAAAGCCTGACCCTGACCCTGACCCTGACCCTGACCCAGAACTGCAGGCTCCCAAGGCCAGAGTGTCCCAGATCGCTCAGCGAGGCCTGGACAGGCCACGCCCCTGAGCAGTGACTGTTCTCCGTGGTCCGCCGTGGCCTGGCAGTGAGACACCCCATACGCCAGTCCCGGTCCCCTCGGACCCTCAGCGGGCATGCTCAGGCAGGAGTGCTGACCCCCCATGCAGGCGCCAGGAGGGCGGCCTCAGGGCACACAGGGATGGGCGTCCAGGGGAGGAGGGCGGGAGGGTGATCCATTAGGAAAGTCAGTGCCATGGGCACCGGGAGCTCCACCCCGGGTCAGAGGGAGGCCAAGGTCGCCGGCCAGGAGGACTGGTCCCGAGTCTGGCTCCCGGGCCAGTCCTGGGACTTGGACACACTCCCACCGAGGCTTTCCTGAGCTGATGCTCCACCCAGGGCCACTGGCCCGGCCCCCACGGGGGTGCCCCTGCCAAACCCTCACCCACTCCGGCGTGGGGCTCCATTGGCCACTGGCTGACGCGCTGGACGGTCGCCGCTGCTCCCGCCACGTCGGGCTGGGCTCCTGGTCCCAGGAAGGGGGAGGGGTGAGGGTGGGGCATGGGTACATGGTGAGGGCAGAGGACAGCCATCCCACAGCCTGGAACCCAGGAAGGCAACGAGGTCTCCCCTGGCCCGCGAGCCAGGGGGCTCACTCCCCATGAGGACCAGCCCCGCCCGCACCCTTTGCCCCAGGCCCTGGGCCCCAGGCCCTGCCCGACCCAGCCCAGCCCAGCCCGTGACAGGTTTGGGGTAAAGGCCGGCCCGGCCTCCGATAAGGCTGATGGATGAGGCGTCGGAAGGCCACGGGCTAAGCCCAGGACCAATAAAAGGGAGGGTCTGGGGAACCCCCTGCACAGAGACTCCGCGGGTGCCGCCCCCTGCTGGGTGACCCAGGCTGCCAGGCCGGGCCCACCTCGTCAGCCGGGCTGCCGTCCTCGGGGCTCTGGGGGGGCGCAGGCTCCAGGGACCGCAGGGTGCCATCCTCGGACACCTGGGACTTCTCCGTCAGCTTATCAATCCCTGGGGGGCAGGGGGGGCAGGTAGGCGTGAGGACCTGCCCAGTGCCCTCCTGGCAGCGTCTCCCCCGGGCCCCGCCCCCTCCAGCCACTGTGCCTGATCCCTCAATGCCCCACCCCCCACCGCACCCCTCCCAGAGCCCACACCCAGGCGTGAGGCTGGTGCCCCACGAAGCTCTCCCTCTGGGCTCCCCTGTCTCTGCGCCCGCCTCAGCTCCATCCCCCTCTACTCAGTCTCCCATGTCCTTTGCCAGAGAAGGGGTGACACCCCCCAAGACCCTGTCCAGCCCCCACCCACGCCGGGGTCACACCCTCTGCCGCCCGCCAGCGCCGGACCTGGGGTGGCCACCAGGCTGGTCTTGAGGGTGCCAGGCTCGGCGGGGGCGGCGGGCCGAGAGCCCTCCATGGAGGCGCCCTCCTGGGAGCCGGAGCGGGACAGGGGCTCGGGCGCCTTGCGGCGCCGCTGCAGGGCCTTGTGGATGGCGGGCGGGTCGGAGGGCAGGTTGGCCAGCTGGTGGAAGACGCTGCGCTTCCGGATGATGGCGTACACCAGGTTGGAGTTGCCTGCGGGGCGGGGGAAGCCGAGGCTCAGAGGGGCCGTGCGTCCACAGCCGAGTGCCCGGGCCCTAATCGACACCAGGCGGCGGCATCTGTGACCCCCATCCAGGCCGTGCCCGTCAGAACGCCCCTCTCCCCAGACTAAGAGGATCTGACCGCGTGCCCTCTGCCTAAGGCCGCCTCCCCGCCTCCACCTCCACCTCCACCTCCATCCCAGCTGTGCTCCGTTCTCCACCCCTACCCCCCACACCGGGCACGGGGCTTGGTACACAGCAGGTGCTCAATAAATGCCCTTTGGACAACCCGGGGGGGGGGGCAGAGGACTGCTACCCCTTAGACTAAGGTGATCAGACGTCCCGACAAATTGTTAGAAATTGGGGCTGTCCCGCCAAAAGCGGGACGTCCAGTCACCTTACCTTAGACAGGACAGTATCCTCGCCCACGGGCCCCCCACCTCCTGCCCCCGCCCCAGGCCGGGCGGGGTGGGTAGGGGAGGGGGCAGGGCAGGGCAGGGCGGGGCGGGCAGGCCTCACCGTCAAACTGGTACTGGATGATGTTGTTGAAGACCTCCAGCAGGAAGAAGACCAGGTGGTGGTTCTGGGCGGCCGAGAAGAGGAACCAGGTGGTGGAGAAGGCCTCCAGCAGGTGCAGCAGCTTGTTGGCCGCCACCATGGACAGGCTCTTGAGGTAGGGGGACACTGCGGGAGGGGCGCGGCTTACCCCGGGCCCCCCAGCCACCGGACACGGCCTGGGCAGGAGCAGGACAAGATGCTCCTGCTCCCCAGCCCTCCCTGCCCCTCCCCTCACCTCCCCCCCACCCTGCAAAGTCCCTGAAAACCCAGGAAGAGAACCCCCAAGGCCAAGCCACCTGGGAGCAGTTTCGTTCTACCCTTGTCCCTCCACTGCTCCCCACACCCCGAAGCGGGAGGCGGGACACGGATGAAACCATCCCCGCTTTACAGGTGAGCACACTGAGGCTCAGAGAGGCACACAGACTTGCCCTGAGTCCCGTAGTTATAAAATGACTGGACAGGAATACAAGCTCAGGATCGCTAAGTCTTGCTAGCACACCAAAGTGATATTCTCCACAGAATTAAACATGTGTTTGTGGCATAGCCTGGGAGTGTTTGAGTCACATGACTGTGACTGACAGTCACATGATGGACCTGTCTCCTTGTCTCAGGTCCTCCCTCACCAGCCGGGGCAGGGACGGTGCCTGGCTGGCTCACAGATGCATTCTCCCGGCTGGCCCCACCAGCCAGTGCCTGGCTAAGGTTTGCGGATGGAGCCAGTGAGTGAACAATTAGGGAAGGCCCCCGAGCTCACAGAGGAGCCAGAGGCCCTGTACTCCCCACCCACGGGGGACCATGGTCTCCACTGAAGTCCCCCTGCCCCAGCCCACCACTGCCGCGGTGCTGGCCTGAGCCCCTCCCCTCCCTTCCCAGGCAGCTGTCCGCAGTCCTCCCTGGTGGGTGGGGCACATCGGGGCACCCAGGACTGAGCTGGCCCAGACCCGCACTGGCCCACACAGGAGCTACAAGCCACGTGTGACTAGTAAGCCCGGACACATGGGTAGCCCTAACTGATGGCAGTCGCACATAAGATGTTGAAGCCTGACCAAAACAGTGGGTAGAGTGTCAGTCTGCGGACTGAAGGGTCCCAGGTTCGATTCCGGTCAAGAGCATGTATTATACATTGGTTGCAGGCACATCCCTGTAGTGGGTGTGCAGGAGGTAGTTGGTCGATGTTTCTCTCTCATCGATGTTTCTAATCCTCTATCCCTCTCTCTTCCTCTCTGTAAAAAAAATCAATAAAATATATATATATATATATATTTTTTTTTTAAAGAAGGAAGAAAAAAGATGTTGAAGCCTGAATGTGAAAGGATGTAAAGTATCTTGGCTGCACGTGGAGCTGATGGCGTTCCGGATGTGGTGGGTTAAGTCACGTCTACTGTAACATTATTGCCACCTGTTGCTTCCTTTCCCTTCTCCTGTGGCCACTAGGGAACTGACTGGTACCCAGGCGGCTGCCCTTGCATTTCCACGGGACCAGGGTTTGTGAAGCCGGGAGCGGCGGGCAAGTCCGCCTGTGGCCTAGCGCCACCTGGCGGTGAGCGGGGGGAAGGCGGGTTCCGGGGAGCCCCTACCGTTGACCACGATGGTGAGCAGGCAGTCGAAGAGCGGCTGCAGCCGCTGGTGCCCGCTGGTGATGATCTTGTGGAACACCTGCGCGGGGAGCACAGGGCGGCCATGGGGTCCCCCTGTCTCCAAGCTCAGCCGAGAGGACGCCACCACCCCCCCATGCACCCGGGGGCCCCTTACCACAATGAGCAGGTCCGCATGGGTGCCCGTGAAGACCGGGATGTCCATGGGCACGCGCACCGAGTAGGGCTTGTTGAGCCGCACCCCGAAGTTGCGCTCCCCGCTCAGAAGCAGCAGGATGAAGACCCCGATGTGCATCAGGCCCACCCGAGCTGCGCAGGGAGCGTGGGCGGGGTCACCGCACAGGGTGGGAGGGAAGGAGGGGGCCCAGGGGCAGGGACCATCCTGGGTGGGGGGTGGTTTCTGAGCTCCTGGGAGGTGGCCGGACTGGCCGGACCACCCCTCCCCAAGGACCCCTTCCCCCGTGCGCGCCTCCCGGCCTGTGCGCGCCCCTCCTCACACTGGTCCGCTCGGGCGTCGTTGAGGAAGTAGAGGATGGGGACCAGGATGTCCAGCACGTCGCTGCTCTTCAGCACAAAGAAGAGGAATTTCTGGGGGAGGGAGGAAGGAGCAAGCAGGCAGGGTCAGAGGGAGGGGCAGCTGGGAGTCTCCCCAGGCCCGGTGTCCAGCCCTGGCCCGGCCGGGCCTGAGCGGCCGCTCCGCAGGGCGGGAGGTGCTGCCCCCTGGTGGTGAGGGCCTGTTACGTCCCCTGCGGCGGCCCACCTTGTTGAAGTCGCAGAGCTTCCAGAAGAGGACCAGCAGCTCCTGGTGGAACTGGATCTTCTTGGTGGAGTTGGGCAGGTAGGTCTGCAGCAGGGGGTTGGACAGCAGCCGCGCTATGCCCTTGAGGATGAACTGGAAGTCCTGGGAGGGAGGGCAGGGGCCTGTCTGGTCCGGCTCCTCCCTCCCCCAGAGCCCGGCCCCACCGAGAGGCCGAGGGACCCAGATTCCAAGGGCGTCCATAGCTGTCCTGGGTGAGCCCCCAGGAAGCCGAGGCCACGGCTGGCCTGGGGGGCCCTTCCCTCCCGCAAGGGGGTCGCTCACGGAGCACCCGCTACCCGCTGGGCCGGGCTGTGCCCTCTCTCAGTCCTCACAACCAGGCCTGGGACCAGCGACCCCCCACCCCACCCCCCTGCAGCTGCGGAGGGCAAGGCTTTGGGGTGACGTCCGACACATAAACTCGGGTCTGCCTGGCCTCTAGGGCCACTACATCTCCCTCCCTTGACCTTTGAGAAACTTGCCACCACAGCCTCCTCCTCCTGGAAGCCCTCCCAGGTCCCCTCACCCAGTCGGCCCTTTTCTGCAGATTGAAACCCTCAGTCCTATTGTCACTGTTTTACTGCAGTGGCCGGAGACCATGGGACTGTGCTTCCTTTAGGGAGGGGTGAGAACTCCCCCACCCCCACCTCACCTGCCCCCAGCCCCGCCCCCACCCCCTGCAAGGCCATAACCCCGTGGGGTGGGCATGGAGACTCGCCCCGAGCAAGCAAGAGCAGTGCCAACCTCACCTCCTCTCGATGGATCCGGGACAGGTAGTTCACAAACAGGTTCTCGGGCCCTGGAGGCTGCTGAGGGTGGAGCCGGGGTGAGCGGGCGCCCCCACCCTCTGCCCCTACCCCAGGCCTAGGCAGCTGTGCCCCCTCGACCACCCCCGGCTCACCGCCAGGTGCCCACCGGCCACCCATCGCCCAGCTCTGCTAGGGGGGGCGCCCCCTCCTGTGCTTACATCCACGTCGTCCATGGCGGTGCCCGTGGTGGTGCCGTCCACGGTGGGGCCGGCGCTGGCGGCGCTGTCGTGGTCCAAGGTGACGATGAGCACCTGGGCGGCCTCCTCCACCAGCGGCTCCCGGGAGTCGGAGAAGAGCAGGTGGTTGTAGGGGATGCCGTAGCCCACGGGGTCATAGGCACACACGGTGTTGAGCAGGGAGGTGAAGAGGGGCAGGGCGTGTCTGCGGGGAGAGGGGCGGGGGGATGGGAGGCCCCCAGGCCCAGCCCGCCTCCATCCAGACCACCGGCCGCGCCCTCCACACGCGCCTCAGCGCCAGCTCTGGGCGGGCCGGGCCGCAGAGCCGGGAGCTCGGCCCTCCCTGCAGGGGCCCTCCCTGGCCTTGGTCCTGGCCTGCATTCGGACCCGGATCTGCACGGGGCTGGGCGAGGCAGGAGGAACTTATTCCCCAGAGTGGGTGGCCGGTAGGGAGGGGCTCCTGGGAGGCAGTCAGGTCCACATCCCTCAGAGTCCTACCGCCAGGGTGAAGCCTAGTTTTATTATTATTATTATTATTATTATTATTATTAATTATTTTATTTATTTATTTCAGAGAGGGAGAGGGGGAGAGAGAGATAGAAACATCAATGATGGGAGAGAATCATTGATCGGCTGCCTCCTGCACACCTCCCTGGGGATCGAGCCCACCACCTGGGCCTGTGCCCTGACCGGGATTGAACCCTGACCTCCTGGTTCAACCCCTGGGCCACGCCGGCCGGCATGAAACCTATTCTTTTGTTTTTCTTTAAATACTAGTTTTTAGAGGTTCACAGCAAAACTAAGGAAGGTCCAGAGACGTGCCACCCCCGCCCCACACACACGGGCTCCCCCACCAGCACGATCAATAAGCCGCGTGGACACAGAAGCACCAAACCCACCGTTCCCAGCAGGCTCATCTCGGCGCCCGGCACCTCCAGGCTTGGGCAAGTGTGTGATGGTGGGGCCCCCGGGCTTGTGGGGGGCCTCCCACCCAGGGCTCTGAGAGGGACTGAGCCCCCCTCAGGAAGCAGCGCACATGCTCAGTCCCCCAGGCCCCAGGCCGGGTGCTCCATTCAGAGATCCGTGCGATGTCAGGGCTCAGGCTCCTCGTCTTACGGAGGAGGAAACAGACCCTGCGAGGTGACGAGGGCACGGCGTGCCGTCTGCCTGATAAGGCTGCTGAGGAGGCACACTGGGCGGCTCCAGCTGTGGCTGGGAGGGGTCCCCAGGGCTCCCTGCTGGGGGCGGGGGTGGTGGGCGGGACACCAGGAAAATCTGAAGGAGGAGCGTGCCACGTGAGCACCAGAGTCTGGAAGGGAGGGGATGAGGCAGGACCCTCGGGGACTCGAACCCCGGTGCTGCCAGCACAGCCCGGGCACCGCAGGAGCTGCACAGCCCATCGACCTGTATCTGCTCCACATGGGCTCGCCATGTGACACCTCATGTGCTCACATGAGCCCCCAGGACCAGTGAGCGAGCACCCCAATCTGGCCGGGCTTCCCCATCCTTCACGGTATATTCATTATGCCCCCCAACCACTGTCTACATTGTACTGACCCCCCCCCCCAAAAAAAAAATAAATTGCACTGCCCAATACAAGCCGCAGTAGCTCCTAGGGTCAGCAAACTCATTAGTCCACAGAGCCAAACAGCAACAGGACAACTATTGAAACTTCTTTTGAGAGCTGAATTTTTTAAACTTAAACTTCTTCACAATAGACTCGCCCAGGCCGTGGTATTTTGTAGAAGAGACACACTCAAGGGACCAAATCGCGAGCCGCGGCTTGCCGACCACGGGCCTAGGAGCTTGACATGCGGCTGGTACGAAGTGGGAGGAGCTGTGTGAACTACACGCCTGATCCTGAACACTCAGCATGAGGAGGCATGTCCCTCATCCCGATAGCTGTGTATGGTGATGGCATGTTACATGCTATTCTTTTGGCTAGGTGGTGGTTCAATCAAACATATTATTATATGTCACCCGTTTCGTTTTTACTTTCCAATGTCGCTAGTAGAAATATTTAAATCACATGTGCGGCCCGCATTCTATTTCTACCAGATGGAGGATCCAGGCACCTGGCACCCAGGGACCCCAGTGGACATTGGACAGCACTGGCAGGTGTGGCTGTTACGTTACAGGTCATCACCACCAGGGGGCAGCACCTCCCGCCAAATAAGGCTCCCAGGGCTGCCGGGTGGCCTCAGCTCCTCAGCTCTGCGGCCTGGAGCGAGGAGGAGGAGGAGGAGGAGGAGGAGGAGGAGGAGGAGGAGGAGGAGGAGGAGGAGGAGGAGGAGGAGGAGAAGGGAAAGGAAGGCAGAGGGGGTGGGGGGTGGGGGCTCACCTGTTCTCTGTGGAACAGAAGAACTGCACCCACGGGTTGCTGCCGTCGCTGTCCGGAGCCGGAGGCAGGTACATGGCCTCAGAGAAGCAGGTCAGCAGCAGCTTCAGCAGCTCCGTCCTTGGGGGGGAGGGAGGGGGAAGGGGTGCAGTCCCTGAGGGTCCCAGGGCTCCCCAGGAGGGCATGTCCACCCTGCCCAGCCCAGCTCAGGTCCACGAAGAGAAATGGCCCCCTTTTCTCCCTGTGAGGCTGCGCTGGGCCAGGAGGGGCAGCGTCCCTCGGCAGGGCCAGGCTGTCCCCTCCCGGAGCCGCAGCCTGGGGCCCACGAAAGCTCACCGGTTGGTGTCGTGGATGTAGTTGGGCTGGGGCGAGTGCGCAAAGCCCACGCCCGCCTCCCAGATGTATTCACAGCTGTCCAGGGAGTGCATGTCCTCCGCCAGGTCCTGGGGACAGGTCAGGAGCGATGGGGCTGGGGAGGGCCGACCTAGGCCCCCGTCCCTCCTGTCACCCCAAACTCAGACTCTCGAACGCCCCCGGCGCTGACGCACAGGGAAGAGACGATGCTCTCAAGCCCTCAGTCTGGCTCTTTCACTTGCTCAGCCCAGCATGAGACGCAGAGAGAGAGATCGGGGAAGGAGGAGAATGGGATTGGGTGTCTAGTGGTGGGCGGGAATGGGGGGCAGGAAGCACTCAAGGTCAAGTCCACGGGCTGACGGAGAGGGAAAGGGCCAGGCCTCCTGTGCCCAAGCTCTACCCTCACCCACCGCCCAGGCAAAGACAATGGGAGCCTGTGCCCAGCCTCCCGGATGCAGGGGGCATGGCTGGGCACCAGGTGGCTCCACGCCAGCTGTGCCAGCCTCCGCCCCCACCCCGGGACCAGGCAGCCCTGTCCCCGAACATCCGCCTGGAGCGTCACTCAGCCACTCCGGAGCCGGGCCCGCCGCTCTCACCACCGTGCTCCTGCGGTGGCTCTGCACGGTGAACTCCGGGCAGAAGAGCAGGTCGGCGATGGCCAGGAGCAGGGACTCGGCCAGGGGCCGGGCATTCTCGTCATCGTCTTCCCCCTGCTCCGGACACAGCGCCCAGGCCCCTCAGTGGGGCCGGCCAAGGAGAGGCGGCCCCAGGGTTTGGGGGAAGGGAGGGGGTCGGGGTCTGGCCCAGAGCGGACTGGGAGCAGTGAGGAAACCTCCCGCTGACGGGAGGGGCCGGGCCATGCATGTGCCCGAGTCTCTGGGTCCCCTCAGCCCTGCAGGGAACCACCGGGCCGCCCCCCACCCCCCGCAGGTGCCTGGAGCTAGCCCAGGCAGAGGCGGAGGGAGACGCAGGGAGAGGCCCAGCGGCCCTGTGCCCAGCTGCGCCCAGCTGTATGGGCAGAGACGGTGGGAGCGGAGCCCCGCTCTCCCCAAAGCCCGAGGATGTCTGGAGGCGTGTGGCCGGCCTGGTTCCCGCCCTGGACCGGTTCCTGCCCTTTCACAACTCCGCTGCCCGCCCCGCCCCCCGGGCACAGACCTCGCCTCGCCCGGCGCCGGGCACCGTGGACCAGAAGAAGCCCCTCCAGTCCGGGTCCTCGAAGATGTAGGGCAGCACGCGGGTGAGCAGGCGGCTGCAGTTCAGGACGATCTGCTTCTCCTTCTCCGAGTGGCAGCCGCTCTCCGCGCCCTGCACCAGCTTCTCCACGGCCTGCGGGAGGCAGGGGGCACGCTGGGGGGGCAGCGGGTCCCGCTCGTGGCTCGGGATGGGCACCCACAGGGCCACCCTCTGGCCAGGGTCGGCCAGCCCAGGCGGACGGGACACTGGCTGCGATCGTGGTGAGCGACCACCCCTCGGAGCCTCAGTTTCCCTCTCTGTAACATGGTGACCCTCACAGTGGCCGCGCCCAGGGCGAGCTCACTGAGCTGACCCACGGGAAGTGCTCAGCAGGGTCCGGCCCGGGTCACTCCCCGTGACCGCGTCCCCAGACCCAGGGCCCGCCACGCCCCTCGGACCGCAGGGCGGGCCACCGTGAGGGTCCCCCCGCGGGGGGCAGAGGCCCAGCGGGGCGGCCGGGGGCCGGGCCCCCTCACCTTGTAGCACAGAGTGGCCAGGTTGGAGGGCGACTCCTCCCGCACGGCCCGGATCTCCGCCGCCGGCACCAGCGCGAAGACGTCCTGCACCGAGGTGGCCGTGTCCGCCCAGAACTGGTCCCAGAAGGCGTCATCGGTGGCTTCCACGGGCTGGGGGGGGGGGGGGCGCGAGTGTCCAGAGCTGCACAGTCCCTTGCCAAAGAGCCCACAGTGTGCCCAGCATGTAGCCAAGGAAACCGACCCCCAGGAGGTCAGCCATGGCCCCGCTTCTCCACCCCTGCTGTGCCCAGAGCGTCCCCTGTGGCCACCATGGGGCCCGGCCACACAGACAGGCTGGGACACGTGGCACAGATGCCAGGGGTCCGCTGGGCCTTGAGGGACTGTGTGGCCATCCACCTCTCCGGAGACCTTCTCCCACCCCCTGCCTGCAGGACTGAGCCCAGACCTCAGCCAGCCAGTCAGCCCAGACCTTACCTAACACACCTGCACGCTGCACGCCTGCATACACACGTGAGCACACACACGTGCATGCACACACGCCTGTATCTGCTGTCCCTACAGCACAGCCAGGCTGTCTTTTCTCCCAGCCTTTGCTCAGACTGCCCCGTCTTCCAGCATGCCCACCCCTCCCGACACATCCCCAAGTCCCACCAGCCCCACGGAGACAACGTGCCTTAAACACACGTACCATATGCCTTTTGCAATCCCTGTGAACGGGAATTTCTGGGAATATTTCCCAAGGAAACAGTTATGCACGCATGAGGATGCCAACGAAGTGTCGTGGTAACAACGGTAACAAGTTGGGCTCAATCTAACTAACCAACAACGGCACAGAGTGAAGGCACAGAGATCACCCAAAAGCCTTGTGTGCATGCACATAAGCACAACCAATGGACACAGACACCAGGGGGGTGCGGGCATGAGCGGGGTTGGGGGGGGGACGACAATAGGGGGATAAGGATGCATATGTAATACCTTAATCAATAAATAAAAATATAATCACAATTCTGGCCCTAGCTGGTTTGGCTCAGTGGATAGAGCGTCAGCCTGCAGACTGAAGGGCCCTGGGTTCATTCTGGTCAAGGGCATGTACCTGGGCTGCAGGCGCCTCCCAGGCCTGGGCCCTGGTTGGGGGACATGCAAGAGGCAACTGATTGGATGTGTTTCTCTCACATCGATATTTCTCTGTCCTTCCCTCTCTCTTCCATTCTCTCTAAACATCAATGGAAAAGTATCTTCGAGTGAGGATTAAAAAGAAAATAATAATAAAGAGCTCTGAAATTCGTTTAAAGAATAATAATAATAATAATAATAATAATAATAATAATAATAATAGTGTTCTCTGAAGCCACTTCTTGCAAGAAGTCTCCAGAGCTCTGGACAGATGGGCTGGCTCCCACCTAGAAACGCCCTCCCGACCCGCTCCCCATGGCCCCTGGCTCCACCAGGCTGAGCCCTTCAGTCCACAGCCTTCCTGCCTGGCCCGCGGCTGAGGCGATGGCAGATGCTTAGGCGATATTTGTCCAGCTAACGGCTAGCAGCACTCCTCGAGATCCCTTCAGCCCCTCACGAGGCAGGGCCGAGGCCAGGGGCTGGCCAGAGTTAGGGCTGGGGTCCCAAGCCTCACCAAGGTGCAGGTGTGCCCAGGCCACTCCCCAAGCAAACCCCCCACGAGCTACAGGGCAGCAGGTGGCCTTGGCCCTCAGGACAGGCCTGGCACCAAGGCCCGCTCAGTCCCAGAACTGGTAGAGCCAGTTAGTGTGGGGAGAGGAGTGGGGAGGGGGCGACAGAGGCCAAAGGAGGGGCCCTGGGGCTGGGGTTTGCTGACAGCCCTCTGACACTCACTGGGGTCCCATACCCCAGTGTGGCTGGCCAGGGTGGGGGTGGGAAAGGACATCCCAGAAACATGAAGAGCCCTCCCTCCCCAGTCTAAAAGCACCGATGGGAAGCCCTCATCTCTACACCTTCCCCACCTTCCAGGTAACCACTACCCCCCTTAAAGGGGCAGAAACTCATCTCAACACCAAGTAGACTTGGCCTCTGACCTAGTTCATCAAGCAAGTGTCCCCAGGATAGGCCAGCCCTGGAACAGAGGAGAGTCCCAGCTGGGAGCTGGCCTTGAACTTCAAGAGTGGTGACTTTCACCTCCCCCATCCTTAACCAATCCCACCATCCCACCGTGGCTTGAACACTTCAATTTGGCAACCATTGCCTGACCACAGGCTAGCCTGATGCTATAGGTGTCGGCCAGGGCCACTGGGGCCCCTTAGGCTTCTAAGGGGCGGGACATGGCTTAGCTCCTGCCTCAGTTTCCCCAGCTGGGCTCCACCCAACCCCAGAACGCTCCGAAGTCCAAGTCAGTTTCTTTGGAAAGAAGCAGCCGGGCAGGCCCCACCACCAGGGCACAGGACTGAGCTACCTGGTGGGGAACCAGCTGTGCTCGCCCCGGCTCTGCCAGGACCTGCTCAGGCCGGAACCCCCCCCTTCTGGAGGACCCAGCCGCATCTTTGGAAACCTTTCTGGGGGGGAGGAGGGAAGGACCAGCCTGCAAAGGGCGACCTGTCCTGGAAGACTGAGTCACCGTGGCATGCACACGCACATACACGCACACACATGTAAACATGAACCTTCCAGATCCCATCTGCCCAACAGCAGAGAACCTCAGCACATGTGGGATGGAGGAGAGGGTCCAGGTCCAGGAATGTCCCCCTCCAGCCCCCTCCCCCCAAACTGGGAAAGACATAGGGAGCCCAGCCAAAGCTCCCGGCCCTCAGAGCCAGGCCGGGCCGGGCGGGAAGGAAGCAGGAAGCAGCACAGGAAGGCTGGGTGGTGGGGCAGACGCTGGGCCAGCTTGTCACTGCCCACAGCAGAGCTGTGTTTGCAGCACAGCGCCGGGGGCCGGAAGCTGGAGGGTGCCCCGCGGACAACCGCCTGAATCTCCCTGGAGACACGGAGGGGCACGGTCTGGGATGACTGCCTGGGAGCTGGTCCTCACTCCCCAGCCGCCCAAGCCAGGTCACCACCCAGGACCTGAGGTGTCAGACCCCGAGGGTGACGTCACTCCCTCCAGGCAGCTCAGGTCCTCCCACCTACAGGGCCCCCGTGCTCCCCAGAGTGAGACCAGGCTGGCCTCTGGCTTCAGTCCTGTCCCAAGTCAGCGCACTCTCCTCAGCTGGGAAACGGGATGGCAATGCCTCCTGTCAGCTCCATCAGTGTATGGAGGGGTGGGGGGAAGCAGGTAGGAATGTAGTCCATCCAGATCCCTTGGGACCTGGCTGAGCTAGTCCTGCTGGGCCAGCCCTGGACCCCAGCAGCTGAGCCAATAGCCCAGAGTTCACTCCTCCAACAAGCTGTTTCCTGGCCGGTAGGTAAACACTGGAGCCGGCCTTCCTCTTCTCTCTGCGGCCCCACCTTGAGGGGCAGGCGCCCTGCCACCCACAGCCCCAGGCGTCCCACTGAGAGAGAGCCAAGGGCCGCGCAGCCCAGGAGCCCGGGGAAGTGGCCGGGAGCAAGGTCTGGTTCCTGCGGCACAGCCCGCAGCCGGCCGGCCTCTCCAGAGCCCTGGGCACCGCCAGCACCTGGCCTTTTCCTCATGGGGACAGGAGAGGGGGGACCTGTGCTCTGGCCTCCGGAGCTGTGGCTCCCTCCATCCCACCCTCACTGCCAAGAGCAAGAGAGAGCGGAGCGCTGAGGAGCAGTGGGGTGGGTGGGGTGGGGTTGGGGGGAGAGGAAAGCCCCAGATAGCAAGCAGCAGGTCCTGACTCCCTTGAAAGTGGGGGGATCTGGGGAGTCAGGGCCGGCGTCTCTGTAGCCAGAAGGACCTGGTTCAAGGGGTGAGGAGAGAAGGGGTGGGCAAGCAAGCGCCTTGCTGGGCCAGGACCTGCTTGGGGGGCAGCGGGGGAAGGAGGTGGCCTCTGTGCCACTTGTGGACTCGGGGGGCATGGACTAGAGCTGCAAGACACCCCCAGCCCCACACCGGCCGGTCAAGGGCAATGGGCAGGTCTCTCAGCCCCGAACAGAGGGTACCACAAGCACAACCATACCCACAGCTGGGCCTCAGAGGAGAAGGCCCCTTCAGGACTGGTCCCAGCTGGGACACCGGGCTCCCTGAGCCTGGGACCCGGTCCTCTAGCCAGGCTGCTGGGCCTCTCCTGCCTCGGGCATGGACCTGGGCCCAGCAAGGCTGCCGCCGCCGCGCACCAGCTGTTTCCCCGGCCAGGGCGGACGCCGGCCGGCTTTGTTTGCATTGAGTCAGCCGGCTGTGGGTCCGGGACCGGCGGGCACCGAGGGGCAGGGAGGGGCGCAGGGAGGTGGATGGGTGGGAGGAGGCGGGGAGAGGCTGGAGATATAAGCCCGGAGGGACGGGTGGATGGGGGATGGGAGGGGGTGGACAGCGGCGATGCCGGCTGGGGAGTAGGCACACGTCAGCCTTAGGTGGCAGCGGCGGCTGCGGGAGAGGATGTTCCCGGGAGAGGCGGCTGGGGGTGGGGGGCCGGGGGTGGGGATGGAGCATCGGGTGCAGGCCAGGGATTGGGCTCGGACCTCAGTATCCCCCGCCGGCCCGGCTGGCTCCCCGCTCCCAGGGCAGGCCAAGTGCGCGCAGCCCCCGGCCCGGCCCTGCCCAGCCCCCGCCCGGCAGGTGGGGGGAGGCCGGGGTCCCGGCGCACCTGCGTCTTGGTGGTGAGCTGGATCACCGCCTTTCGGAAATTCAGCTTGGAGTCGGCCGACCCCATATCGCTGGAGCCCGCTCCGGCCCGGCCCCGGCCCCGGCTCCCGCCCCGGCCCCGGCTCGGGATCCAGCTCCGGCTCCGGCTCCAGCTCCGCGGCCCCCGCTGCTCTCGCAGGAGCAGAGCGGAGCGCGGCGCCCCGCCCGCCGCCGCCGCCGGCCCCGCCTCCCGAGGCCCCGCCCCGTCAGGCCCCGCCCCTGGTGGCCCCGCCCCCGCTGCACCTGCAGCCTTGGCAGGCACCGTCCGCTCTGGCGCCCGGTCTGCCTCTCCGTCTCAGCGGGACCCAGTGCCTCCGCACCCTTCCTTCTTTCCTGTCCCCTCTCCGTCTCCCATTTCCGCCCCAGCCCCAGTCCCCGATCCTCCCGATCCCCGTCCTCCTGGTCCCCATCCTCTCGGTCCCCACGCTTTCTTAGCCAGCTCTCTCCCTGGAGTTTACTCCTTGTCAATCCTGTCCTCCCCATTCTTCTTCTTATTATTATTATTATTATTATTATTATTATCATTATTATCATTACTATTGTTTAGCATCTGCTCTCTTGGTTCCCCTTTTTCTGACCTGTTAAACCCACGTGTCCAGACAGCCCAGACTCAGCGTGAGGAAGGCGGACTCCAGGAAAGCATCGCGGATCTGATGGGACTCCCACCGTCAACAAATGTGCGGTGCGGAGGGACTGGTATTTAGCAACACTGTCAAGAATGGGAGCTCATTTTTTTAAAATATATTTTATTGATTTTTTTTTTAACAGAGAAGAGAGAAAACAGAGAGCTAGAAACATCAATCAGCTGCCTCTTGCACACCCCCTACTGGGGATGTGCCCACAACCAAGGTACGTGCCCTGGAATCGAACCTGGGACCCTTCAGTCTGCAAGCTGACCCTCTATCCACTGAGCCAAACCGGTTTCGGCTCAGGGCCTACTCTTAATGAGCAATTATCTAGGGAGAGAATCAAGAAAAGAATCAGCCATGATTCAACCAGTGAGCCTTTGATAGAGGCAAAATAGTAGTAGTAGTAATTAATAATAATAATAATGTGACAAAAAAAATAATGTGACATCCATATCGCCAACAACAGAATCCTACCTCTGAGGTAAGTATTATCCACATGATACATTTGGGGAAACAGAGGCCCAAAACATTTAAGTTATTTGCCCCAAAGTCACACAACTAGTAAAGAGCAAAGCAAAATAATTAAATAAAAATAAAAATCCAACTCACCCCTATCTGCAAGCCTCTGGAAATCCCAGGTGCTTCAGAAGGAGGTGAAACTCGGCTTCCGTAGGAATTCCACCGGTGAAAAGTGAGGGCCACACCATCGAGGCAGCGAAGGGTGGCGAAGGCAGAGGAGGACAGGTGTGGAGGAGGAAGGAGGGGAGAGGTCACTGAGTGAGCAGACTGGACAGAGGGTCTGTCCTTGCTCCAGAGGCGTGTTTTCCCTGCCCTGGATGAAACCCTGGGCAGGCTCCATGGCTTTTCTGATCGCTCTGAGATAGCGAATGAATGGCACCTTTATTTGGCATTTTTAAAAAATCCAGTCCTCTCTTCAAAGCACCCAACTCTAGTCCAGCCCAGAGTGACATTAAAAACTCTGAGTCTGCCCCTCCACAGCGGCTCAGTAGCTGAGCATCGATCTGTGAACCAGGAGGTCACAGTTCAATTCTCGGTCAGGGCACATGCCTAGGGTTTCGGGCTTGATTTCCAGTAGGGGGTGTGCAGGAGGCAGACAATTAATGATTCTCTTCCATCATTGTTATTTCTGTCTCTCCCTCTCCCTTCCTCTCTGAAATCAATTAAAAAATAAAAATGAGCCGAAACCGGTTTGGCTCAGTGGATAAAGCGTCGGCCTGCAGACTGAAAGGTCCCAGGTTCGATTCCGGTCAAGGGCATGTACCTTGGTTGCAGGCACATCCCCAGTGGGGGAAGTGCAAGAGGCAGCTGGTCGATGTATCTCTCTCATTGACGTTTCTAACTCTCTATCCCTCTCAATTCCTCTCTCTGTGTAAAATCAATAAAATACATTTTTAAAAAAATGTTTTTAAAAAATTAAAATGAAAATGAAACCCTGAATCTTAATCATGAAAAAGATACAAATTGAAACCACAATATAATATATCCCTCTCTCTATCTCTCTTCCTTCCCCCCCCTCCCTTCCTCCCTCTCTAAAATCAATAAACATGTCCCAGGAAACATACCCTCGTATCCTAGAGTGAGGATTTGTAAAATGTAAAGAAAACAAACTGCCACTTTGTGGGTGATTCTCTTCTCCACACGTTGTCCCTCTCCCAAACCCGGTCCTCTCTCTCCCGACCTTCGTCTATAAGCCTCGTGTCAGTAAACGGCACTTCCCCCAAATCAGTGTCACCCTTGCCGCCTCTCCTGGTGTCACCCCAAGGCCAGTCCATCACCGCGCCCTGGTGGTATTCCCCACTGGCCTGGCTGGGCATGTGCAGGAGGCCACCACATCGATGTTTCTCTCTGCCTTCCCCTCTCTCCGAAAAAATATCCTCAATGAGGATTTTAAAAAGAGTAAGGTGAGGCCTCAGGGGCACACTCAGCTATGCTCCCTAAATGACAGGCCTGGCAGGCTTAACTGCAGGGATTCGAGGTAGACACGTGGGAGCATTTCCCACCCCCTGGGACAGACTCAGATGGCTGATGGGGGAGGGGGCACCAGATGACCTCACTCCTTCAACTATATCCAGCGCCTCCCCCTGCCAGGCACTGACCTCAGCCTGGTGGGTGGACAGACGGAACAGATCGGGCAAGAGCACTCAGTGCAGCCGGTGCCCAGCGCGGGGATGTCTGGGGACAGCTAGGCCTGCAGGGGTGGGGGCACCCGGGGAAGGGGTCCCGATGCCACTGGATCCCTGGACATCAATCCAAGATGAGCGGGAAGGGAGTGGAGGGGAGGTGGCAGAGGCCCAGAGGCACCCTAGCCCTCCCCCAGGGGGACTGGGAGTGACCGAGACCCTCCATGTCAGCACCGGGGGCGCAGTCATTTCCGATGGGGCGGGCTGGGGGTTGGATGTGCCAGCAGAGGGTCACGTCAGAGTCCCCAGCGCACCCCACAGGGAGGGTGTTTGCCTCGTTGCAGTTGCATCGGGCTCCGAGCTCCCACGGGTCCCTATCTGGGCTCTAGTCCCGCCTCTAGGGCCCGGGGAGCTCCTCCGATGGGGTCTGGGGAAGCCTCCCCCCACCCCCCACCCCCCCCCCCCCCCCCCCCCCCGCGCCCCTAGTCCCCGGAGTGTGAAACCGGCTGCAGGGGAGTCACAGAGCCCAAGGCTTGGGGGCGGTTGAGTTGGTCACCAGTCACCGTGGTGTCTGGATGCTCCTGACAAGGAAATAGTCTGTGTGACCCACAGATGAGGCACCAGCTCTGGGGCTCCCACCATCAGCTGATTTGTAAGTCCCAGCCACGGGGCTCTAGACTCCGCTGAGAGGAAAAGGCCTGCAATGGATCCCAGGGCTTGTTGGCCAAGAGCTCAGGAAGACAAAGGAATTTCCTGCTGCAAAGGCACATCTCGTTTTCCTCCTCCTGCCACAGTTTCGGAAATAGGATTACATCTGCCGGGAAGGCACAGGAGTGGTCCCACTGGCCAAGGAGCCGGGGTTCTGAGGAACCGGATTTGGCAAAGGGCCCGGCACAGGCCTGGTGCACAGCAGGACCCCATCCCCGGCATCCACAGCTCTCTGAGACACCTGGGCCTCCATCCTCCATCCCCTGTCCCCTTGGGAAGCTGTCAGGGAGGCTCCACAAACCTGGCTGAGCTGGTTGCCCAGCTTCAGCCCATCCCCACCCACCCCAGCCTCATGGGACTGAGGGGGGTCCAGCCTGAGTCCAAGGAGAATCCAGCCTTGGTGACATCTCGCCCCCACCAGGCACTGCTCCTGGGACTGGGGCTCAGGGAGGGTGGCTGGATATAATCAGGGTATTTCAACAGTAGTGCCAGCATATAGTGGGTCCTAATAAAAATGAGTTAGATGGCACTGGTTGGTTAGCTCAGTGATTAGAGCATCGGCGAGCACTGAAGGGTTGAAGCCTTAATTCTGGTCAGGGGCATGTACCTCCGTTGCAGGCTCGATCCCCATCCCAACCAATCGATGTGTCTCTCTCACATTGATGTTTCTCTCTCTGTGTCTTTCCCTTTCCCTCCCCCTATGTCCAAAAATCAATGGAAGAAATATCCTCAGGTGAGGATTAAGAAAAAATAATACAAAAATGAGCTAGATGAATGCTGGAGTCTGAAAACTCCTTTAAGGAAAGAATAATTGGGTAGGTGAAAGTTTTTTATTTTAATGGGTATCGTTGGATATAGGCCATGGATCCCAAGGAGAGGGCAATGGAACCTTAAAGAGGAAGGCCCAGAATGCGCATAACACGCCCTCCAACCTCGCCTCCTCCGGCCTGAGGTTTCTAGGCACAGGATTTAAACATTCAACCCCTCACAGGTACTGTGATTGTCAGTGAACACTCATTCATGGTGTCAGCAAGCCAGGCTGTTCTGGGCACTGAGCAGCCAGCCGTGAACAAAAGCTAAGCTCCTTGCTGCTGCCAGGTGACCCAGAGCTAGAGAAACATAACAGGTAAATAAAATAAAATAATTTCAGACAGTGAGACCTAGTAGTAAACCCAAGGAGCCCAGCCTGGAGGGAAGGGGCGGATTGACAGCCAAACCAGGGCACCAGGGAGGCCCCGCCCCTTCCCCGCCTCTACCTTTGCATACGCCTTCCGATTGGGCGGCGGCGGCAGGCCCCGCCCCGCGGAGCGGGCGGTTGGGGAAGCTCCGGGCGGTTGGGGAGACGCGGGGCAGACGCGGCCGGGATGCGGCCGCTGCTGCGGGGGTCGCTGGGCGCGCCGGGGGCTCCGCGGGCGGGAGGCGGGCCGGGGGCGGCCGCCGCGGCGCCGGCGCTCTCCTAGCTCCCAGCCCTGCCTGCGGGGCCGGCGTCCCTGTGGCCTAACCGCCCGCGTCCCTCCCCTCTACCCTTTGTGCCGCCGCCGCCGCCCGGAGATCCCGGCCCCGCAGGACCCCGCCGGGCCCGGTCGCCGCGGCGCCTCGGCCCGCCGTGGGCGCCGGGGCAGCGGCCGATGGCGGAGGGGCGCGGCGCGGGCGGGGCCGCCGCAGCCGGAGTCCGCGCCGCGGGAGCCCGGGCCCGCCGCCGCCGCCGCCGCCGCATTGTCCCGGGCCCCGCGCCGCGGCCCTGAGCGCCGCCGCCGCCGCGCCCGCCCGCCCGCCGCCCCCTCGGGCATGCGGAGGGCCGCCGGCATGGAGGACTTCTCCGCCGAGGACGAGGAGCCCTGGTACGACCAGCAGGACCTGGAGCAGGGTGAGTGCGCACGGAGGGGGGCCGGAGAGCGAGGGGCGCCCCGACCTCTGTCCGCTGCTCCATTGTTGGGCGGCGGCACCCCCGGGAGCGCCGAGCGGCACCCCGCGGCCGGACTCCCATGGGTGCTGCGTGTGCAGAGCGGGGACGTGGAGGGGAGGGGCGCGCTGCCCGCGGAGCCCGGCCCGGCCCGGGGAGACCTGCCAAAGTGGGGGGAACAGCCTTCCTCCTCCCCGAAGGACAGGGCCACACTGCACCCCGCTCGCCCACCCAGCTGGGAGGCAGGCTCTGCCCAGGGCCCCCTGGTTTCCCGGCTGGAATTCTTTGGAGGCCGGGACGTGGCTCCTCCGGTGTTTGGGAGGGGTGGAGCGTGTGGGGGGGAGGGGGAGAATGATCTTATCCCAAACCCAGCGACACCCTTTTCCCCTGCCAGAATTCCTGAGCCTCTAAGACTCCCGGGAAGTTTCCCCGACTCCCTTCCCCTCTACCCAGCCAGGGGAGAGGTGAAGATTTGGGGTCCCCTGGCCCTCCCCCCAAAAACCCGCCGCTCCCCCAGCTGCTCATGGTTTGGGGGTCAGGTTTGGCAATTCTGAGCAAGAGCCAGATTAGAGGCAGCCACCTCCCCCCTCCCTCTGGGAGCAGCGAGGGCCCCTGGAACTGGGTTAGAAGCTGGTGATGAGGTGGCCGAAGTGACATCACTAAGAGCCGGGGCCGGGCTGTTAGGACCGGAAGGAGGAGTAGGCCTGAGGGTCAGAGCCAAGGCCTGCTGGGCTGGAGTCACATCCACCCTCTCCCCACAAGAGCACCTCATTCCTGGAGCCAGGGCTGGAGGCGGGTCCAGGAGAGGTGACCACAGTCCCGGGTGGGCAGGTGTGGACACAAGTCTGATTGAGTGTGCGCGCGCACACACACACACACACACACACACACACACGCACACGCTCCGGGGCCCCACCCACGGCCCCCAGGCCTGGCTTTTACCTCAGGGAGACACCTACCCAGATCCCAGAGTCTTTGTCACTGGCCCTGACCCACATCCTCACGTGGCCAGACCTGCGGTAATGAGGCTCAGTCCTGAGCTCGGGAATGTGGGGTAATCAGCCTCTGAGGCCTGGTGTGGGACCGGGCGTGCTGGGCTGCACTCTGCCGTACTCTCTGCCCGAGAGCCTGCCCGCGGCTCCCCTGCCTGGAGCGAGAGGCCCAGTACCGGCTGTGACAACCCCTTCCCGACCCTGGCACTATCCCTGCATCCCACAAACGCCCACCAGGCTCCCCTTACGGGTCAGACACTGGGCTAGCCCCAGCCCCGCCCACTGCGTGGCCAGGTGGAGCCGGGCTTGTGATTGGGTGCGGGTGACAGTGCAGTGAGAGGGCTTCATGGAAGAGGCGGCCTGGGAGGAGAGGCTGGAAAATGGCCTCCCCTCCCAGGAGGCAGATGCTGACATTACTGCTGCCTCACGTCGTTCCTGCTCCTTACGGAGTCTCTGGCGCCATGCCCGGCCAGCTGTGGGGGGAGGAGCAGGGAGTGAGGGGGGAGACGTGCTGCTCCCGGAGAGGGAGCGGTGTCCAGCTCCCGCCGGGCTGGGTGCCCGCTCTGGGCCAGGGTGGGGGGTGGCCTCTGCAGCCAGCCGCCCCTCCTGGCCTCAGCAGGGCACCCAGAGCCCTGGAACCAGGGCCGAGCACCAATGAGTGCTGAGCTGGGGGTGACCTGCCCGCGGGGCTCCACATTCCCGCAGAGGAGGCAGGAGATGGTGGAAGCCGGTGGCAGCCGGTAGCCGCAGGGGCGCTGTGGCAGGCAGATTCGAGGATTCGCACACAGGCCCTCTGAGCGGAGGGGGCAGGTGCTCCCTGGGCTGAGGGAGGAGGGCAGGCATTGGAGGTATAGGGGTCGCCGTACAGGCATGGACAACGTGGAAAGACCATGCGCGATGGGAAGCAAGGCCTAGGGAGCTGGGGTGGGGTTGGAGGAAGTCCCCGCACAAGTACTGGGGCACCACCCCGGGGGCCAGCATGGGGAGCTGGAGGGTGGCATGAGTATTGGCCCAAAGCCGGCCCCATTGGGGATCAGAGGCCTGTTGCGCCCCCTTCTCTACCCAATTCCCAGCGCTCTGCCCAGCTGCTCCCGGTGCCCCTCAGTGCTCAGAAGTGTTTGCCCAGCCGCCTGGCTCTGGAGCAGCACGGCCCCCTCAGGGCAGGCCCCAGCTTCTCCCGGGAGCTGACTGACTGCTGCTGTTGTGTCCCATTAGCCAGGTCCCTGGCTCCGCCTGCCCCCTGGTCCCTGGCTCCCCTGCCCCCTGCCCCCTGCCCCCTGCCCCCTGCCCCCTGCCCCCTGCCGGCACCGTAAAAATAGAAAGCGCCATGAATCAGTAAGCACAGACACTCCTCCCATCGCAGACCTGTGGGTGCCTCTTTCCGCTGAGACAGGGCTGCTGAGTCACACATTTGAAGCCCTGGGCGCCTGACCTTGAGACTCAGTCTCTAGCGAGGGCTCCGGCGTGGCACCGAGACTGGGTGCCCGGCCCCAATTCTGTGGACACAGAGTTCCTGACGTTCAGGCCCTGCAGGCTGTAAGCGGGACACCCGCAGCCCGGCCAGGTGGTAGATGGCCTCCTCCCCGGCCCCCCCTTCTTAGTCTGTCCTCCCTGTGCCTGTCCCCTGTCCCTTTCCTGCCTCCTGTTCCCGAGTCCGTGGGGCCCACCAGACGCCAATCAGTGGGCGCAGTGGGGTTTCAGCATTTCTTTTCAAAGACGTCCAGTCTCCTGGCCGTGACCTCGCAGGCTTCTGGGGCTTTGCTCCTAGGCAGCACCTCAGCTGGTCCAGGGGCAGCCGCTGCAGGAGCCGGAGGCTGCACCTTCCCTGGCGGGGTCCGGTGCGCTGGTTGTGGCCACTGTTCACTCCTCGGGCTTCTGGCTCAGCCAGCTCCCCGATTCTCCCACTCCCAGGCCTCCCTCCCTGGAGCCCTCTGTTAGCCGTTGCCCTCCCCCCCCCCCCCCTCAGCCCCTGGCTGTGCCCCTTCTAGACCTTTCTCCAGATCCCCTCTGGCAGCTTGGACCAGCTGAGCTTGCATTGTGATCCAGTTTCCCTGTGATTGTCCCTGAGACTCTCCCCACCCCCACCAGCTCCTATTGTTCCTTCTTCCCGGTCCTGAGTCACCGGGGCCCAGGTCACGGTCGCTGCCTCCCGGGGCCTGTCCCTGGTCTTAGTGTGGCCTCAGCCGCCACAGGAACGCACACAGCCCGATGCTCACCGGGAGGACGGGCAGAGGGCAGAGGGCAGAGGGCAGAGGGCAGGACCGTCCCTCGCGCCCTCTGAGCCCTGGGACTCTGCAGGGGGTCCACACAGGCCACCCACAGAGCCTGGCCCCTCGCACCCGCGCAGACGACCCCATAGCAACGGCCTCTTTCCAGGCTGCCGGCAATCCCGGGGAGGACGTGCCGAGTGTGGCCCTCGGGGTGGTCTTGCTGGGCCCTCGACTTTCCACCGGGCACCCAGCACGCAGGGCTGCAGTGCACAGCCTCACACCCAGCCCCTCCCTCTGTGGACCCGCCCAGCTCACAGCTGGCACATCCCTCCCTCACTCCCCCGCCAGCACCTGCCAGGTAGCGGGGGTTTCCTGGCATCACCGTCAGCAGGTTAATGAGCTGCTCACGGCTAATGGTTTCTAGCTGAGATGTGTGTGAGCTGAGGTTTTGTGGGAGGCAGGAAGGTGCTGAGGAGAGCGGCTGGTCTGTCAGGCTGAGCCATGGTCATCGGGGCCTTGCTCCAGGGCCTCCTTGGTGACATCTGGGCACAGCCCCCGCCCCCTCACCTGGCCTCGGGCCAGCTGCATGCTGCCCGTGTTAAAGCTGTTTTAGAATCTCGCCTGTGTGTGTCTGTGGGAACAGGCTCCAGGTTTGTTCCGAATGGACGGCTAGGACTTTGGTCCAGGCCGGTGGCCGGTCAGAGTCCCCTCTGGCTTTGTAAGCTGAGGCCAGTCCTCCCCCCGCTGGCTGGACCCACCTGGAGTCACTGCTCCGGGGCTGCCCGAGGGGAGCCCCGCTTGTCGGGAGCAAGGGAGCGGCCCACTGAACCCGCTGTGTCTCTGGAACGTGCCAGGAGGGAGTACAGAGGCCTTCCATCCTCCAGGGGCCCTAGAACCACCAGTCCTTCTGGAAAGGGAACATGGCGCCCAGCTCGGTCCCTGGCCGCAGCCTGGGCCCCGTCAGAGCTTCCCTCGCGCCTCTGGGTCGGGATTCAGACCACTGGCCTCGACTGAGGCCTCGTCGGGGGACAAGGATCCCACTTTCCTGGGTGGCGTTTTGGCAGAAGAGATCAAACAGGCCCCTCTTCTCCCCACCACACCGCCCCCCAAACCAGGCCAGGTCCCCTCCCAGCCTGACAGGTGTCCATGTCCCTCTGGCTGGGAGGGGAGAGGAGGTGCCGGTCCTCCAGACGCGAGATCAGGTGAGGGGGGAGAGGAGGGTCCAGAGAGGACGTGTCACGAGGACCACATGCTACCAACGGGGACCAGGAGGCCTGGATTCTGCTTTCAATGTGGCTCCCACCCCGCTGGGGGCCTGGGCAAGTCACCCTTCACGCTCGGGCCGCCATCCAGAGAAGGAGGACGTTAGCAAAGAGCTCTGAAGCTCATCCAAACTCTAAAAGGCAGCGAGCCCCCCCCCCCCCCGCCCTGCCGCCTCTCAGTCCCCTCCCAGCCCAACGCCAGGGCTGCCCAGTGCCAGCCGACCGCCGGCCCTGGAAGACGCTCTCCCTTATTATCATCCAAGTCATTGTCCCTGGGTCTCCTCACACTCCTCACTCACTCTTTCGAGCAAGATTCATACACCTGCTCGGTGCCAGGCACTGATCTAGGTCCCGGGATATCCGTGAAGTAACAGGCTAACCCCCTGCCCTGTGAGCTGATGGTCAGGAGAGGCGACAGGTGAGGGAGAAGCTGTGGGCGCTGGTGGTGATCCTGCTAAGGAGAAGCAGCTAAGTGGGGAGGGTGCGGGACAGGGTGGTGCCATTAAAACCGATAGTTGGGAGAAGTCTCCTGGAGAGAGGGGCATGAAGCACGGACTTGAAGGCAGACAGGGATGAGCCCGGGGAGGGGGCGGGGGGAGGAGTATTCCAGGCAGAAGCAACAGCCAGTGCAAAGCTTTGCTCCTGGCCTGCATCCCCTCCCGAGCGGGGGCTCCCCATCAGCCCGTGTCCTGCTCGCCTTGGGGTCCCCGAGGCCCAGCTCAGAATGAATGCTCAGACCGTGAGGGGGTCCTCTGGCTTCTTTCTCACACCCCTCGCCCCTCCCTCCAGACTTGCACTTGGCCGCTGAGCTGGGGAAGACGCTGCTGGAGAGGAACAAGGAGCTGGAGGCGTCCCTGCAGCACATGTACGCCACCAACGAGGAGCAGGTGCAGGAGATCGAGGTGAGCCGCTCCCACCGTCTTTACCCGCAAAGAAAACCTGTCCCTAGAGGTGGGAGGAGGGCCCAGGCACAGTCTCCCGAACCCCGTTCTGAAAGGTCACTCACCCACCACCCCTGCCGACCCCCAGTACCTGACCAAACAGCTGGACACGCTGCGGCAGGTGAACGAGCAGCACGCCAAAGTGTACGAGCAGCTGGACCTGACGGCCCGCGACCTGGAGCTGACCAACCAGAAGCTGGTGCTGGAGAGCAAGGCTGCGCAGCAGAAAATCCACGGGTGAGGCCGAGGGGAGGGGTGGGTGAGGGTGTGAGGGGTGGCGAGGGGAGGCCCAGGGCTGGGAGTGCTGTGGGCACAGGGCGCAGGGATGTGACAGCTGCTCCTTCTCCAGAAGCCCAGGCTGGGGACCTGGGAGGGTAGTGAGTTTGCCTGACAGTCCCTTCCCTGCGTCCCCCCCACCCCCCAGGCTGACGGAGACCATCGAGCGCCTGCAGGCCCAGGTGGAGGAGCTGCAGGCCCAGGTGGAGCAGCTTCGGGGCCTGGAGCAGCTGAGAGTGCGCCGGGAGAAGCGGGAGCGCAGGCGCACCATCCACACCTTCCCCTGCCTCAAGGAGCTGTGCACCAGCAGCCCCGGGTAGGTGTCTGAGGGCCCGGGTGCCGTTAGGGAGAGCAGGGAGAGGGTGGGCTGGTGCACCGTCCGTGCTGATGGCGAGACTGGTCCCGTGGCTGACGAGCCCACAGCTGGTGATCCCTGAGCCCTGGCCAGGAGCCCAGGACTTTGCTAAGCAGCTTAACGGTCAGGGCAGTGCCGTGAGGTGTCTGTCATCTCCGCTGCTCCGATGAGGACGTTGAACCCAGAGGTTGAACCCAGGTTGCCTGTTAATAAGCGGGAGGGGTTCCCACGGCACCTCAGTGCCCTTCACCCTCACGGAGACGACCTGTGAATGTAACACCCGTGGGTATCTGGTGGGCGTTCCAATGCGGGTGCTGCCAAAGACGGTGCCTCTCAGTCATTGAGGGGCGCCTGCTGAAGGTGTGGGCGAGGCACAGGAGCCCGAGGAGGGCCGACACTGCAGGCCTGGGGTGGTCATAGCTCCGTGGACCAGAAAGATGGAAGTGTCCGGGGCTGGGCTCCCAGCCTTGCCCATGACCAAAGCCCCCGCCCCCACCCCCCTCTCCCAGGTGCGAGGATGATGCCTTCCGCCTGCACAGCTCCTCCCTGGAGCTGGGCCCCCGGCCACTGGAGCAGGAGAACGAGAACCTGCAGACGCTGGTGGGGGTGCTGCGCTCCCAGGTGAGCCAGGAGCGGCAGCGCAAGGAGCGGGCGGAGCGCGAGTTCGCCTCGGTGCTGCAGGAGTGCGCGGAGCTGGAGCAGCAGCTGGGCGAGATGGAGGGCTGCCGGCTGCGCGTGCAGGAGCTGGAGGCCGAGCTGCTGGAGCTGCAGCAGATGAAGCAGGCCAAGACCTACCTGCTGGGCCGGGAGGACCACCTGGCCGAGGCCCTGCTGGCGCCCCTCACCCAGGCCCCCGAGGCCGACGACCCCCAGCCGGGCAGCGGGCACGAATTCGGGGCCCGGGACGGCGGCTCCTCCCCGGCCACCTCCCCCAGCCACGCCGTGCGCAAGAGCTGCAGCGACACGGCGCTCAACGCCATCGTGGCCAAGGACGCTGCCAGCCGGCACGCGGGCAACCTCACGCTGCACGCCAACAGCGTGCGCAGGCGGGGCATGTCCATCCTGCGCGAGGTGGACGAGCAGTACCACGCGCTGCTGGAGAAGTACGAGGAGCTGCTCGGCAAGTGCCGGCAGCACCGCGCCGGCGTGCGGCACACGGGCGTGCAGACCTCGCGGCCCATCTCCCGGGACAGCTCGTGGAGGGACCTGGGGGGCAGCGAGGAGGGCCAGGGCGAGGCCCGGGCGGGCGAGAAGAGCCTGAGCCAGCACGTGGAGGCCGTGGACAAGCGGCTGGAGCAGAGCCAGCCCGAGTACAAGGCGCTCTTCAAGGAGATCTTCTTCAGGATCCAGAAGACCAAGGCCGACATCAACGCCACCAAGGTCAAGACCCACAGCAGCAAGTGACCTGTGCCTCCCCCAGCCGGGCCCGGGCCCCGAGCCTGGGCCGCTGCCGCTGGGGAGTGAGGGAGCCTTTGGCAGCAGTAAGGCCCATGGAGGCCGCTCCGGGGAGCTGGTGGGCACAGTGCCCCCTGCAGGTGTGGGGGCGAGCCACACGTCAACATGCCTGGCCTCAGAACCCTCCCCATCCTGTGCCAGCCCGAGGCACAGCGAAGAGTTCAAAGCCAAACGTCCCCCTTCCCTGGGGATTCCCAGCCCTCCGCTTTCTGACCTGAGATTTGTGGCCAGGCTTCGAAAAGCCATCTGGACCAGTTGTTGTTTTGTTTTGTTTTGCCCCAAAGTTTGGGATTTTGTTGAGAGATTTGCAATGTAAGGTCCCCCTGACCCCTTGCCACAACTGGAAACACTTGAAGGGGGACCCCAGGGCCAGCAGTGGCCAGTTCCCGGGGTCTCCGTGACCACCCACTGCTTCTCCCCAGCTGTGACACTGTCATTCCCTTTGCACCAGCTGTCCCACCCCCAGGGCCCTGCCCAGGTCAGAGATGGCCCTGCATGCAGAGCAGAGCGCCTCAGCCTGGCCTGGAGTGCCCCTGCCCCTCCCCACACGCTTGCACCCCCACTCCCACCCCACCCCTACCGTAGTGAGGTGGCCTTCTCCCCGGAGACCCTCTGCCCACTGCAGACCTGTAGCCATTCAGAGAAGGGGAGCAGGACTCCTCGCAGCCATACACAGTGGTGCACCGTTCCCCCAGATCCACCTCCTTGGGTTCCAGTTCTGGAAATGCCTTCTGGGCATTGAGCCTTCCAGGGTCTGGGCGGTGGGGCGTCCCCATCTCTGCACCCCACCTGCAACTCAAGTTTGGCCTCTGCCTAACCCCACCTCAGGGACCATCACGTGTCTCATTCACTCCCATGCTCCCCCTAGCTGACCCCACAGCAAACCTGCTGCCCCCACAAAGTCCTGGGCATGCGAAACAAGCCAGGGTCCCAGCATCCACCCGCCCCCTTTGCTGGGTGGCCTGAGACTCGCCCCCACTGAACGGTTCTGAAACACCCCCCCGGAGGGAGGACATGTCTCCGTCCCATAAAAGCCTGCTCTTAGCCTCCTGCCCCTTCGGGGGCCTTGAGGACCCGGGGTCAGGGCTTACTCTGGTTAAGGCTTTAGAAAGTCCAGCTGCAACTAAGGGATGCCAAGGCCCCAGCCCTGAGCCTCTCAGGGCTTCCGTCTCTGCCGCCCGTCCCGAGGCCCAGAACTCGGAGGAGCAGATGGCCCGGTGAAGGCCGGCGGGAACCTTCATGCCTTACTTGTTTCTAAGGGGACAGGGGTCTCCAGCACCCGCTCCCCCCGGGCCACCTGCTTTTGGGGCGGCACTGTGCTGAGCTGGGCCGGTCCTCCGTCGCACACCTCGGAGCCCTCTGTCCTCTGGGGCTGGGCAGCTCCCGGCCCCACGTGTCGGTCATCCAGGGGGTTGGGGGGGTGCGTCGGGGTGGGGGAAGGGCTCCTGCCTGTTTGGTCCCCAGTTCTGTAGCAGCCCACCAGCATCACCTTTGAAGTATACATGAGAGAAATATATTTGCAAATGCTTTATTCTCTTCTTTAATAAAAAATGCACCAGTATTCTAAAGCAGAAAAGGCCCGGCCCATGTGCTTCTGTGCGTCTCACCCACCCGCCTCCATCACACATCACAGCTTTGGGGAGAGGGCTTCCCGAGCCCCATCCCCCCACCCCAGCCCCGCGCATGGCGGCGGGGAGCTCTGAAGGGGAGGTCTCAGAGGCTGCTGTTTATGAGTGCCCGCTATGAGGGCACCCCATGGTTGTGCCCCTTCCTTGTTGGACAGATTTCGCAGCTCCCAACCCACACCTGCCAACAGCTTTGACCTCAGAAACCAAAGAAAAGGCTCCTGAGTCTGTAGGGGCTCAGTTCCTTGCTGCCTTCACACTTCAGTTCCATGTGGACAATTCTGCGGGCTCTGGGTCCTAATCCCATGAGAAATGCTTCCATGACCTTCCCCCGGTGGTCAGCTCAGGGAGCACCCCGCTGCACCCCTTTGTTTTCTGCCTGCCCGGCACCTTGGGGGAAAAGGAAAGGTGAGGAATACAGCGAGTCAGACTGGACTTCCCTCCCCAGTGCTGCAGAGAAAAAACAAAAGCCACCAGCTCTCTGAAAGGAAAAGGAAATTCCTTCAAAAAACCTGTACGCCCTCAGCATGCCTTAGTAGCAGCTAATTCTTGTTGCCCGCTGACAGGCAGCTGTAAAATCTGTTTTACTGATGGGGATCTTGAGGCTTAGAGGTTGTTAGTAGTTCAAAGTCTCAAATATTTGAACACAGACCTGATCCAATCCCACTATGTGATACTGAACATTCCCTATTTCCATGTAAAACCCTCAACATTACATGGAAATAGGGAATGTATATATATTTCAAGAGAGAAACACTAATCGGCTGCCTCCTACACACCCCCAAACTAGGGATCAGCCCAAAACCCAGGCCTGGGCCCTGACTGGAATCGAACCATGACCTCCTGGTTTATAGGTTGACGCTCAACCACTGAGCCACACCAATTGGGCTAACGTTGAATTTTAAGAGCCAATTTGGTGGTAGCCCAGCTCACAGGCCACAGAGAAGGGCCGGTGCCTGAAGCGCTGTCTCGGCCTCTGGAGGACTAAGGCGGGAAGGAAGGCTGGCTCCGCCTCCCTTTTTGAGGGCAGGCGGCACCTCCCCCTGTCCTTCCCAGAGGCCTCTGTTCTGGATGACTCCCGCCCCGCGGGAAAGGGGCTGGCAGCTGCTCTCCATCCAGGGTGACTTGTCTCATCCACTCCTCTCCCCCCTCCTCCACCAGAATCCAGGGCACCAGATGGCCCGACTAGCCTGCTTATTTGGGGCCGTGGAAATCTGCAGCTTCCTTTCCCTGTCCTTCTGGGTCACGCACGGGGCTGGAGTCCAGCCGCAAAGCAACGATGCCACAGAACGGGTCTGACTTTGTTAGTCATAATCCCAGAGCCAGGGACCTGGCTTGCTCCCCTGAGAAGCTTATTGCCGTCACCTTGGAGACGCCTCTGCTCCCTCTGAGGTCTTGGGACCAAGTCAGACAGGGAGGGATCCAGGAGACTCCCCTTCCAACCTAGAACCCAAAAGGCATATGCCAACTGCCACCCTCTTCCTCGTTTGGGTTTACAAAGGGGGTGCTTGGGGGAGGGGGCAGTGCATTTCCTCCTAGAGATTTGCCTGGATCAATAAAGCTAAGGTGGTAAAACCTGGATCTGATGACGATCTCCTGTTTGAAACAGCCAACAGCCCCAGGGACATCTTTTTCTGGATAATTATGCTTTTCCTAAAAATAGCACTCATTAAGAAACCACTAATGGTACTAATAATCACTAACATTCCTTCGGCTCTGCTTTCATTTCCACACTGCCTCTCAGCACAGTAACTCAGCCAACATTTAGCTGTTTCCAAACACGGCTTGCTCTACTTTGAACCTTTCTTGGGATTAAAACGTCTCAATTTTGTATTTCATGCCTTACCAGCCCTGTAAAAGGGTCCTGCTTAGCCTGCCTGGGCCTCCTGGGCCTACCTCCTGGGCCTCCCTTACCCCCTGGCTGGAAGAGGCTGCCATCCTGCTCCGCAAAACCGATGGTTCCCCCAAAGGCAGCGGGGTGGGCGTGGTCCTCTCTTTACTCTTCCTTCTCCACCTGCTGCCCCTCTTCCCACCTGGTGTTTGTCCTTACAGCCTCCACAGCTGCTCAGCGGATCCTGGTCAGAGCTACCTGTGAACGAGCCAGCCTGGCGTTACTAAAACTCCGCTCCAGCGGAAATCAACTTTCACAAACACATTCCCGAGGAAGCGGTCCTATCGGTGCCTATTGAGGACTGTCATGTGCCAGGTTCTGGGTGCTGGAGCTCCAGCAGTGGGCCTGTGCCTCCCTGGAGCTTATTCCATTCCGGCTGGGAGACAGGCAATAAGCTGGAAAAATAAGTATAGCAGGATCAAAGGGGAAGGAGGTGAACTAGGCCAGACAGGGCAGACCTCATAGATGGGGAGAGCGGTCCCGGAGGTGTTTCTGGGGGACACGGACCTGGGGTTCTTTCGCTACGAGGCTCCCCTTAAAGCTCGCCGTCTGGCCAACGTCTTCCCTACCGCCAAGCCCGCGGAGGCAGCTCTAACAGGAGCCACGGGAGAGCCACCTTCCCCCGCCCAGAGGGCGCTAAAAGTTGCTCGGAACCAAAGTGCAGCGGGAAACACGACCTGGCGGCCCGCGGAAGGGAGCGCCCACCGGAAGCAACCCGGAGACGAACATGGCGGCCGCCCGGTGCCTGCGCTGGGGCCTGAGCCGAGCCAGAGCCTGGCTGCCGCCGCCGCCCCCGCGCTGCCCCCGCCGGGAGCTGCACAAGCAGGCAGACGGCGCCGGGTTCCAGAGCAGCTACAGCCTGGACAAGCTCTACCCGGAGTCGCGGGGCTCGGACACGGCGTGGAGGGTCCCGGTGAGCCGGGTGGGCCAGGCGGAAGGGGCGGGCCCGCGCTGCCAGGTGACGTCAGAAAGCCGGGGCCCTATTGGCTGTGCGCGCCGCTAATCCAAGGGACCGCAGCGGAAGGAAGCTGGTTGCCCGGGCAACCGAGAGCGGCCACTGGGCGGGGCTGGGCGCCCGGGGAGGCCGTAGTGTGGGGGTGCTGGGAGAGCGCGCAGGATGTGCTGCTCGCAAGACCCCCCACTTTTCCTGAAGTTCCCTCACTTTCAGGCCCCGATTCTTGTCCCAGGGAGAATGTGGGCGCCTGGCCCTGCAGAGGGCACAGGAAAGGCAGGAGGCTGGCCAGGTGGTTGCTCCCTTCTGGAGTCTTTTGGAAAGTTACCCTGTCCTGAGCCTCCAGGAACCCCAGCACCCCTGAGGAAACGGGGCTCCCGTTCGTTTCCTCGGGATGCTGTGTGCAGGCTGTGGATCGGCCCGGGGCGGGAGAGAGGGGACCCAGCCTATTCCGTTCAGTGTCCACCTGCAGGCCTGGGAGAGAACGTTCGTTGGTTCACTCACGCACTCAGCAGACTTCTGTGAAGAGCAAGCCTGGTGCCCTGCTCTAGGCACGGGGATAAAATAAACAAAACACAAAGATCCTAATGTGTGTGAGGCATGCATTCTGATGGAGGGAGACCGCGATAGGAAAAATAAGTACTAGAACAGAGGATGTGAGTGGTGCTTTCCTTTGGAGAAGCTAAAGCCTGGAAGAGGAGTGCTAAGGGAGGAGGTAGTGCTGCAGGGTTTTTTTTTTTTTGTTTGTTTTTAATAATATATAGTTTTTATTGATTTCAGAGAGGAGGAAAAAGAGAGAAAGAGAGAGAGACAGAAACATCAATAATGAGAATCATTGATCAGCTGCCTCCTGCAAAATCCCCCACTGGGCATCGAGCCCACAACCCGGGCATGTGCCCTTGACCGGAATCAACCTGGGACCCTTCACTTCCCAGGCGGACACTCTGTCCACGGAGCCAAACCGGTTAGGGCATAGTGCTGCAGTTTTAAGTGGGATGGCCTGGGAGGCCCCGGAGAAGGTGACATTGAGTAAGGGCCTGGATGAGGAAGGCAGTGAGCCCAGAGAACAGGGGGGAGGCGGGCATCCCTGAGGAGCGAACAGCAGTGTAGCCACCTTAAACCAGTTAGCACGCCCTGCTTGTTCCAGGCCAGCAAGCAGGCCCGCATGGGGACCCGGTGGAGGGTTGGAGGCAGAGGAGTGGAGTGATCCCTCTGAGGAGCGAGGCCTCCATGGTGCCCGACCCTAGCCGAGGTGGGGGGAGGGAGGCTGGAGACGAGTCAGTCCATTTTCCTGGAGGGGTGTTTCTGAGACGGTACCTCCTGAGTCTGAGGAAGCTGTTGTGTCCTCTGCTCTGACTTGGCTGGGAACCTGGAAGTCGTCGTATTCCATGTGTGTTGTGGCTTTCCATCATTTCTTTGGTGCCCTGGACTTGAGTCACCCCGCAGGTGATATGTATTTGACGCTGTGTGCATTGCATTACAGGATGACGCGAAGCAAGCCAACGATATTCCTCTAGGTGAGTAATTAGGTTTTATAAATAAAATCAGCCCGGCTGGGGTGGCTCAGTGGTTGAGTGTCGACCTATTACCAGGAGGCAGCCGATCAATGATTCTTTCTCACCCTTGATGTTTCTCTGTCTCTCTCTCTCCCTCTCCCTTCCTCTCTGAAATCAATAATACATGTATATATTTTTTAAATAAATATAATTAAACTAAGTGATACTGGAACAAAGGGAGGTGACTCAAGGGAGAGGACACCCCGTGGCCGGGTTGATAGCTGCATCTGAGCTCTGAGGTGTGCGCATGCCTGTAGGAGGCAGAAAGCCTGTCATCAGCCAGGGGCTCAGAGGCTGCCATGACGGTCAGGTCATCATTTTCCGACCTCTGTTGACTGTGAAGTCTACAAATAATCTCTTCTGGCCCGAATGTTAGGTTTATATATATGTTTTTGTTTTGTTTTTTTAATATATTCCATTGATATTTTTACAGAGAGGAAGAGAGAGGGATAGAGTTAGAAACATCGATGAGATAGAGACATCGATCAGCTGCCTCCTGCACACCTCCTACTGGGGATGTGCTCGCAACCAAGGTACATGCCCCTGACCAGAATCGAACCCGGGACCTTTCTGTCCGCAGGCTGACGCTCTATCCACTGAGCCAAACCGGTTAGGGCTATATATATATGTGAGTGTTTGAGAGAGAAGTGAGAGAGTTTGCCAGGAGGTAACCATTCTTTGGTGTGTGGTGTTCGCAGATCGCTTGACAATATCTTACTGTCGGAGCAGCGGGCCTGGAGGCCAGAACGTTAACAAAGGTACCGGGCGGGTGCTTTCACTTTAAGACTTAGAAGTCCGACTTGAGGACTCTGTGTTTGCATTCATGGGGCATAAAGGGCATTTTTTCATCAGAAGCTTAAATGCCGCCAGTTTACAATAATCCTCTTTATTCTTTGGAATGCGGTCGGATTCTCAGCTGTGGGTTGTGGGACTAGGATTGGCCTGAGAGTTAAACAAAGGGAAACCACAGGGCGAGTTGGCAGCCAGCTCCCAGCACAGGTTCCCCTGGTTCTTGTGGAGCCCATCCCCCATTCACAGCCCGGAAGCTGTAAGAGAAGCGCTGGGCGATTCCTTCCCGGAGCTATCCTCGTCCCGAAGCGCCGCACTGTCTGGCAGGCTCATTCCATGGCAGCTTGGGATCCCCACGCTGGCGCAGGACAGGGCACCTGGTTGGGTTTCTCGCCTCCCTTTGTTTCATGGTCGCCAGTCGTCACCCGGGAGCTGAGCCTCCCTGGAGCCTCAGTGACCCGTGCTCCCTGGCCCTTTCATTCCAGTGAATTCCAAGGCCGAAATCAGGTTCCATTTGGCAACCGCCGACTGGATCGCGGAGCCGGTGCGCCAGAAGATGGCCGTCATGGTAACGCCGGCCCCTTCCTCTTCTTTACGCCGCAGCCGCTCCCCAGCCTTTCCTCGGGGGCACGCTGGCTCTGCCCTTGTCTCTTGCAGTATAAGAACAAGATCAACAGGCGGGGAGAGCTGATCCTTACCTCCGAGTGCAGCCGCTACCAGCTGCGGAACCTGGCAGACTGCCTGCAGAAAATTCGAGACATGATCGCCGAAGCCAGCCAGACGCCCAAGGAGCCGTCCAAGGAGGATGCTGTCCTCCGGAGAATCAGGTGCCCGGGAGCGCCCCAGCTTCCTCCAGCGGAGTCCTGGGGGGCAGGCCACGCCGGGGCTCCCAGCAGAGAGGTGGGAAAGGGGGGGGATGGGAGGGGTTTGGAGCTGGTGCTGCTTGTTTAGCTGCTCTGCCCCCGCTGAGCTGCCAGCTCTCTCCCCGCTTTGATAGGCACTGATGGGGCACCTGGGCCTAATTGGGATCTTTTTGTTTGTTTTTTTTTGTTTTGGTTTTTTTTTGCAGGATAGAAAACATGAACCGGGAAAGGCTGAGAAAAAAGAGGATCAATTCTGCCACAAAGGCAGGCAGGAGGGTAGATATGGACTGAAATCACCCTCCGGAGCTGGCAGAGCCCTCCGCTGCGGCCGGGCAGCCGGCAGGAGCTCAGTGCTGCAGGCCACAGCCTTGCTGTTCCCGGTTTTAGTGCGTCTCCGACATTGGAGCCATCGGGATTGTCCGCTCAGAGGGAGGGTGGCAGAGGTCTCCAGGCGATGACATGTCACACCTCATCCACTCCATGTAGTAGCTGCACTAAAATTCTACATGCAAAAAATAAATAAAATGAAATTCTAAAGGCCGGGCCTTCCCTTCTCGGTGCTCAGGACGGAGCCCCTGCCCCTCTCGGGTTGAAATCTGCCGGAGGGGAAGGGGAGTCCCAGCCCGGGGACCAGAGCGAGCCTGTGCCCGCCCTCCAGGAGCACGGTCAGGCGGAGGCTGAGGCCGTGTGGCCTCTGAGCTGGGCCGTGGCAAAGGGACAGCGTTTAGTCAGGAAGGCGAGCAGCACATGCCCATTGGCGGGAACAGGATGGGTAAAACCAAAGGAAAGGCCGGCGTGGAGAGACTGAGGAAGCCACGTGAGGAGCGTTTGTGTGGGGGGACCAGGGAGGCAGTCTGGAGGGGGAGGGAGACCAGCTCCCTGTGGAGACTCAAATTCGGGTTAAGCGGTTTTCGAGTTGAAGAAACGTGGGTAAAAAATTAAAATTAAAATTGAAGAAGTGTGGGTAAGGGAACCGCTTGAGTGGGAAGGAATGTCATGGGGTCGCTGCTGTCACAGGCGCCATGTTGGGGGCAGGAAAAGGGAACTGGAACTGGACAGCGGGTTTTGCAGGGGGGTGTGGGCAGCACCAGGCCAGCAGGACGGCAGCACATCACTGTGACACGTGTGAGTCCCACAGACTGTTCTGTGTTACTTTGATCTAATTCACTCATTTACAAATGCTGCACTGTGGTGCCCTCAGTGCAAAACAATGAGCAGAGCACTGCGTACACTGTGTGAGCAGGACCTCATTCACCTGAGCGTAAGCAAAGCGGGGACCCTTCAGTACTGACTTAGGAAACACAAAGGGTGTGGGAGACATGGCCCAGCCCTCAAGGGATGAGAGCCCGGTGGGGAGCAAGGACAGGCACCACTCAGAGTCCATGAGGCTCTGAGGCCCCAGGGAGTCAGCAGTGACCAGTCCTTTCTCCCAGGGAACGGCCATTCCATGGCTGAGAAGCAAAGGGGAACCCTGTGCGGTAACATGGCCTAAAACGTGAGAAGTAACATGAGGAAGGTCTCGACATTGTGGGCGGCAGAGGAACCGTTAGTTCTGGCTGGAAGGTCAGAAGTTTTTGCCTGAAGAAGGGAGGAGCTGGCCATGCCAGCAAGCGAAGAGCTTGGCCCTGCCTGCAGCCCGGACAGTGGACTGTATCTGAGAGGATGGGCTCTGAAGCCAGCCTCCCCTGGCCAGTCCCTGCCCGGCCCCTCCCCAGCCCCCATGCCCCACCACCACCACCAGCTGTGGGCTTCTCTGAATCTGTTTCTCCGTCTGGAAACCGGATGATGATATCACTGCCAGCCTCCTGGGGTGGTTGTGGGGCTTCAGTGAATAAACACGTGGTTAATGGCTGAGTATGTCCTGGGGGAACGAGATTAAGAGCCCAGCTCTGGGGCCTGTGAGCTGTACGCTTGGCCACATGCATGTTTCACCTCAACAAGCAGATAAATTGACTGATTTAAGTGAGGGCAGGAGCCGGGAGCCGATGCAGATGCATTTAGCCCTTCTTGCTGATGTGGAAAGAAGGAGATCGATTTCTGCAGACTCCGCACTTTGGAGAGAAACGGAAAATCATGTCCACCCCTCTACTGAGCTGGCAGAAAACTGTGCCCTCCGCTGCGGAGGAGGGGGAGGCCAGGTGCCAACCAGGCATGATGGGGAAGCAGGGCCCGTGGCTGAAGCTTCTGCTGTGGCTTTCAGATGCGAATGGATTCTAACGGGACAGTCACTGGCTTAAAAATGTGCCTTTTTTTTTTTTTTTAATCTGTACTGCTTTCCAGCTAACAGTTTTATTTTTTATTTTTATTTTTAATATATTTTTATTGATTTTTTACAGAGAGGAAGGGAGAGAGATACATCAACCAGCTGCCTCTTGCACACCCCCCACCGGGGATGTGCCCGCAACCAATGTACATGCCCCTGACCAGAATCGAACCTGGGACCTTTCAGTCTGCAGACCGATGCTCTACCACTGAGCCAAACTGGTTTCGGCTCCAGCTAACAGTTTTAAAGGAATAAAATATTAAGGCGAAGTATCTATTTGGCTATTTGTTTTCTGTATAGTATGCATTTGTACATAGCATGTACATTATGAATATACACTGAGTGGCCAGATTATTATGATCTCTGAACGCATAATAATCTAGCCACTCAGTGTATATCCTATAGAATAAAAGGCTAATATGCAAACTGTCCCTTTAACCAGGAGTTCGACCAGCAGGCAGGCTGGCCAACCGCCCATGTCCCCTCGCTGGCCGGACCCCACCCATGCACGAATTCATGCACCGGGCCTCGCCTCTAATATATAATATATATATATATATATATATATATATATATATATATATATATATATATATATATATATATATATATATATATATATACACACACTGCGTGGCCAGATTAGTATGCGTTCAGAGATCATAATCATCTGGCCACTCAGGTATACCTGTATTTCCATTATGTAGAAGGATTTGTTCCCCCTGGTGTCCCTGCCTCGCGATGGGGAAGTTGTCCAGGGTCTGTTTCACCACTCATGACTGAGGCTCTTCTGTTCTCGTGAACGTCCCACACCTTTTTTCCCTGAAGTCCCTGGGGTTTCTGTCCGTTCCGTAGAGGGGTGGACATAACAGCTCGAACCCCTTCACCGGCCACCGTCTGGGTGTTCCGCAGCCCCAGCCCACAGTGCTTCCCCCGGCGGCCACGGGCGGTGGTTCAGCTCACCTCCCAGGACAGCCTCTTCCTGCATCTTCCGGGTCTATCGTGAGCCCCGGAAGCCCATCCCAGCGCACCCCCGACTCGGTGTCCCCCAGTAAACGTGTGCCCCATTAATTTTTGTCCTGAAAGACCCGGAGTCCCATTGACTACTAAGGAGAAAAATACGGAAGCTGTAACCTACAGGCCCCAGTGGCCTAATGGATAAGGCACTGGCCTCCTAAGCCAGGGATTGTGGGTTCGAGTCCCACCTGGGGTACAGCCGTACTTTTTAAACTGAGGAGTTCTCTCCGCTGCAGCTGGATCTTAGGGGGAAGAAGAAAAAAAGAAAAGCCCGAGCGCACCGGCCCGGAACACAGAAAGGCCCCAAAGCAAAGGTTCCCCGATAGCAACCCGCACCCGTTCCTTTTCCCCAGCTCACAGCCGGCGCTGGAGGGCAGGACGCAGGGAGGGTGCAGCGTGTTCCCAGGACCGCGAGGGCGAAGGCAGCAATGAGCACGGGAGGGGAGCCAGGCAGACACCCCCTGATTGCAAAAGCGGGGCGGTGGGAGGGCTGTAAGGGAGCGGGCGGGGGTCAGAGGCCACGCGGCCCAAACCACATGGATCGGCGCCCCCGGCTGCCCGCGTGCAGCACGGGAGGGTCCGCACCTTCGCGGATCAAAAGTTACCCGTAGAAGGTGGCCACGTGCACCACCCCAGGTGGGACTCGAACCCACAATCCCTGGCTTAGGAGGCCAGTGCCTTATCCATTAGGCCACTGGGGCGAGATAAAACGCCCCACCCTCGTGGCCCATGGTAATGCTCAGCAGCACGTGCACAAATCTCGTCCGTTTTTGTCGTATCCCTAGACCCGTATTTAGCACAAACTGCAGAAAGCCAACTAGACAACCAGAGGGTACACTCGCCGGGCTCCGCGGAAAGCTGGAGAGAGAGGAAAAGACTGGGAGGTGCCAGCTGAGACCTAAGGGCGCCCGGCGGCGCGCACCCGCACCGCCGAGGAGAGAGCGAGTTCCTCGGAAGGGGAGTGTCTGCGGGCCCGGGGACTAGGAGAGGGGAGGGGAGGGAGGCCACCAGGATGCCGAGGGGTATTGCTATGGCCCCAGCCGCGAGCCACCGCCCCCTCGTCAAAAAGGAGAGACTCGACCACGAAGGGACTCGAACCCTCAATCTTCTGATCCGAAGTCAGACGCCTTATCCGTTAGGCCACGCGGTCCTCGTGTGAAAACAGCGAGCAATATCTTATTCAGGTGCAACCTCCTCGCTGGTGGCAGCGGCTGCTCAGGCGACTAGGGCCGGTGCTGGGCTTCAGGATGAATGAAAGGCGGAACCAGGATGCAGTCCATGCAGCCGACGTCTGTGCGGTGCGTCCTTTTCACCCTAAAGAAGCATCGCCGCAGAGCTCCACCTTTAAGGGCATGTGCGGTGCAGCGGGTAAACTGCCTGACTCTGGCTCAGGAGGTGGAAGGTTCTAGTCCTCTCTTAAGGAGAGGTCAGCACACTGTTAAACTTCAAACGTGAACCTATTCCCTCGAACCTCTGCAGTCTTCCACCCACTCTCGGTTCTGGACTGCAATCCCTCTGCGCGATCAATCTTGATTTTTTACAGCCCGGAGCTTCCGGGATGACGTCATTACGCAGCCTAACCCCGTCACAATCAAAAGCCAAATGATCGCGCCGCGCCTGCGTACTGCCCCAGTGGCCTAATGGATAAGGCACTGGCCTCCTAAGCCAGGGATTGTGGGTTCGAGTCCCATCTGGGGTGAAGTGGTTATTAGCCACTGACTTTTTCTAGACCCCAGATAAAAATAACTTGCCTTCTCTTTTCTTTTTTATAGCCTTTTCTGTATGTGTTGCACAGGAGAGCTTCCGCAGCAATTATCTTACCCTTTTAAAAAATGTGTGTGCATATATATATATATATATATATATATATATTTAATTTTTATTGATTTCAGAAAGAAAGCGATAGAAACATCTATGATGAGAATCATGGATGGGCCGCCTCCTACACGCCCCACACGGGATGGAGCTCGCAACCTGAAACCACAGCATGTGCCCTGACCTCCTGGTTCATGGGTCCACACCACCCCTGCTGGGCTTATCCTTTCTTTTTGATCAAGCTGTACTGCACTCTGAAAGGTGTGAGAGCCAATGGGGCCCTACTTCCTGTTGCCTCTGCGTTGGTATCCACTCATCTGGTGAAAGGAGTGTGTTCTGTGAGAGACCATCACTGTATAGTTAATTGGCAAAACCTTAGCCCCTAGTCTCTCCCTGCCTCCCATTGGGGTGAAAATGCTGCCCAATTCTATGCCAAAGATTCTGCTGTGAGCTGTTCCCATTGAGATGGCACCCAGTTCTATGCAGGAAAGCAGCTGGCACTCAAACCTTCTGTTGAAAAGAGGTTATTAGCTTGTTTGGCTCAGTGTATAGAGCATTGGCCTGTTGACTGAAAGAACCCAGGTTTGATCCTGGTTGAGGGCGCATTCCCAGGTTGCAGGCTTGATCCCCAGCTGATTCATGATTCTCATCATTAATGTTTCTCTCACCCTACCTTCCTTTCTGAAATCAATAAAAATACATTTTTAAATAAATATATAAAATAAAAAGGTACATCTATATAGCTGAAACCGGCTTAGCTCAGTGGATAGAGCGTCGGCCTGTGGACTGAAAGGTCTCAGGTTTGATTCTGGTCAAGGGCATGTACATTGGTTGCGGGCACATCCCCTGTGGGGGTATGTAGGAGGCAGCTGGTTGATGTTTCTCTCATTGATGTTTCTAGCTCTCTCTCTCTCCCTTCCTCTGTAAAATATCAATAAAGAATTTTTTTTCATTTTTATTTGTTTTTTTAATAAAGAATTTTTTAAAGGTACATTTATGATTTTCACACTTTCCTATGTATCCTTTAGGAAAAAAAAAATTTTAAGCTACAAATCTGGCCAGAGATAATTTTTTATTTTTAACCTTGAGGCCCATCGCTCCTTTCCGAGAATGGCTGGGCTTCCACGGTATTTTATTTTATTTTTTTTAATATATTTTATTGATTTTGTACAGAGAGGAAGGGAGAGATATAGAGTTAGAAACATCGATGAGAGTCATTGATCAGCTGCCTCTTGCACACCCCCTACTGGGGATATGCCCGCAACCAAGGTACATGCCCTCTACCAGAATCGAACCCGGGACCTTTCAGTCCCCAAGCGGACGCTCTGTCCATTGAGCCAAACCGGTTTCGGCGATAATTTTTTCTTTTTAACCTTGAGGCCCATCGCTCCCTCCTGAGAATGGCTGGGCTTCCAAGGTTGAATCTCTCACATTATGTGCTGTGTTGTTGATGGGATTTTCAGAAGTCCCTGGCTCCAGAAAGTTTAAAAACCAGTTTCTTGTGCTTTTGCAAAAGAAATAACTATGAGCAAAACAAAGAATTAGAAATACAGCATTCTCCTCTCTCTTCTCCAGGGCCATCCAGAGTTGTCTGTACTCCAAACCAGTCACCAAGTGTCATGGATGCCATGTTAAAGCTCCTCTGGCTCCCAAGGTTTGCCACATAACTGCAGCCCGTGGGCTCCTCTGCCTGAGACACTGATTCTGTTCATTTCAGGCTTGTTCTCCCTGAAACCATCCTCCACGCTCTGCCTCCAAGGAGCTTACATTGCAGTGAGAGGACAGGAAGTAATTAACAGATGATTCAAAATAGAGGGCGATGGGAAACTACTGAGTAGTCAGAGGCCTCTGGGTAGAGAATAGCAAACTTACCATTGGCAATGTTGTCACCTTCAAAGGACTTTATATGTTTTTATTGAGTTTAGAGAGGGAAGGGAGAGAGAAACACCAATCAGCTGCCTTTTGCAAGCCCCCTCCTGGGGATGGAACCTCCAACCCCAGCGTGTGCCAATCCAGCCAGGACTTCCAAGGCCTTATTTAATGTCTTGGCTGATACACTACCTACCTCATAGGGTTGTTTTGGGGGATAAATGAGGTATTTATCTACCGTGATTAGAACAATTCTTAGGTCATAGTGTATGCTTTGTAAGTCCTGATCATCATTATTTGCTAATTAATATATTAGTTGGCCCTATTATTCAAGGTGTATGTGATAAGCTCCTAGCTAGCTGTGAACCCCTGAAGGCTCACATTTCTTCTCTTTCATTTACAAAGAATTCATAATAAGGGTCTTCTAAATCCCAAGCACAGTGCTAAGCCCTGGGGAATAGAAATATGACTAAGGTCATATGCTGGCACTCAACGAAGAATCTTCTAGAAGATCTTCTGGGATTGAGAGCATATCCTGTCCATTAGACAACTGAACCACATACACCTATAGGCTCACCTTTCCATTTTAACAAAAAGCCTACTTCCTGTGGGTGCCCCAGAGCTGTAACTACCTCCACTGCAAAGGAGCAGACACACGCAGCGCCATCTGATAATCTTTAATGTCCAGAGAGTTCATAACACAACGACCAGAGCTTCCTCTCAGACTCGGGTTTATAAACTCTCTACTGGCTTGTGAGGCCAGTAGGGATATTTCTTCTTGTCTAATTTGGTTTCTGGGAAGACTTCATTCAAATCCTCTATGGTCATCTGGTCGAATGGAATTATGTTCTTCATCTTCTCCAGCTGGAAGGAGGGGAAACACGTGAAGGTAAGGAGGGCTGCAGAGATGCAGAAAAGGAACCCAAGGCAGGTTACTGCCGCTCGGCAGGAGGGGACACATATCCCCAAGGCCAGTCCTCCATACCTCTTTCTCGTATTGCTCAATCCTGGACTTTGAGAGAGACACAAACTCAGCACAATTTTTCACCTTTAAAAGAAGGGAGAGATTCTGGTTTGGATCCAAGTCAAAGTGTCCTGACCCTGAGGCCCCCAAGGTCTGAGGAGTCCTGGAGCCAGACCACCGCTGCTTTCTCTGTAGCTGCTGACTCATGGGGGAGCGGCCTTTGGGAGGCAAACTCCAGCCTAATGCACAAGCAGCCCACGCAGGAGAGGCCGCTTACAATGGCAGAGCCAGGGTTCTGCAGCAAGTGACTCGTCTAGGCAACCTGCAAAATGCCGTTTCCCAGGTGCTGGGTACTGAAAGGCCGGGACAAGATGCCTGATTCCCTCGACAGACTTCTCTTTTGCGGAGCCACCTGCCCTCCAACCTTCGGCCTTCAGTACTGTCAAGCACACTGGGTAATTTTCCCACCCAATTCCAACTCCTTAGTTGTTGGTAACAGCTTTGCTGAGGTGTAACTGCCATACAGTAAAAACGCACATATTTAAAGAATCCACTTGATCAGTTAAATGCATCCACCGGTGAGACCATCACCACAATCAAGAGAGAGAACACACTGATTAGCCCCCTCCCTCCAATTACCAGGCAACTACAGAGGCTGCATTTTCTAGTTTTATTCCTCCTTTTAGTTCTCTACTTCAACCTGATGACTAAGAAGAATCATCAGGAATGAAGAGCATCCTATATAATAAATATGCAATATGCAAATGTCGTTACGCTGTGAAGTGTAAAGACGGATCACAGATCAGCAGGAGGGTGGGGCAGCGAGCTACAAGTGGCAGCAGAGAGCCACAGGAGGGGGCGGGAGCCCCAGGAAGGGGGGCAGCAGGCGGAGAGCTACTGGAGGGCCCAGTGGGGTGGGTACTGGCGAGTTACTGGCGCACAGAATCGAGCACAGGGCTGTTAGTTTTGGAAAAGAAGAGTCCTAGCTACTTACATCTTCTTTTTCTTCAGCGTCCACCAAGGCAGTGTAATTATCCTGTGGCACAGGCACCTTCAGGGCGTTAAACTGCAAACACAGGCACAGCGAGCCGCCGTTAATTCTTAGCGATCACATAGAACACAGTCTCCATAACAAGACAAGACAGTGTGGAGCTACGGTGCTGCAGTGGAAAGAACATGGGACAGGGAAAGGGGTCTCGGGTTCTTCTGAATCCTGTCACGAACTGGAGACCTTGGACAATCCTTCATTACGATGACCTTCATCTGAGAAGGATAGCTGAACTGGATGACCTCAAAAATGGCCTTTTATCCCTGGCCCAGTAGCTCAATTGGTTAAAGCGTCATCCCAATAGGCCAAGGTTGTGGGTTCGATCCCCGGTCAGGGCACATACAAGAATCAGCTAATGAATGCAGAAATAAGTGAAACAACAAATCAATGGTTCAAAAAAAAAAAAAGAGGGGTGGGGATGGGGGATCTCTTAGAAACTTGTAGCTCTAAAGAAATTCTTATTTCTCTCTTAAGTGAAACCCTAGTGGATTGGTGGAACTAATGTTTGCAGAATGGAGATGGAGATGGTCTCCCTAGGAGATGGCTTAGTGTTATAGCCCCAGCACTCAGCGCTGCACCTGGCACAGAGTAGACCCTTGATAGATAAACAAGAAATTACAGCTTGTAAATTAGAGTGGGGGGGGAAAAAAAAAAAAAAAAAAAAAAGGCAGAGAAAGGAGGAAAACAGGGAAAGGGTAGAAAAGATAACAGTTTATTCCAAAGGAGACAGGTGGGGGACCAAAAATAATTCAGGAGGAGAAGTGGAAACCTAACTTGACAGCCCTCGGGCTCCCTGAGTAAGGCCATCCTGTGTGTTTCTTTGGATAAAACCTGCTGAGTAAACAGACCCTGAATTCTCTGCGTGTACCGTTTACCTGCTAACATGATCCTCTGGCCACACGCACCTCCCCTGAGCTTCCTTCAGGACCTGAGGCTACCACCCCCTTCTTTCCTTGCTGTCACCCCGCATCCCCCCCTCCCACCAGCCGCGTTACCAGGCCAGTGCGCTAGCTGCCTGCAGTCTCACCTTCTTCTCAAACTCATCCACCAAGCCGGCCTTCGCCACATTGGCCTTGTAGTAAGCCCAGTCGATGGCAGGAGGTTTCTCGGGGAGAGTTGCCAACCTGCTCACACGGGAGACAAAAGATTGTTCTGTGAACAGAAAACTCACACAGTCACTTCCCTGTTCCTTATTCCTGCCGCCTGGATGGATCACCACTGTCCTCTAGGTGGGAAAGCACTGGAAGGCAAAAAGGTTCATTTGGAAAATACATGGGTTTCTTTATCCTTTCAGAAGAGCATCAAAAAGTCACATGTCGCCCCGAATCACCGTTTCGTTTCCACATTCAATGGAAGTCAAAGCACCCCCTCTGCGAAAGGGAGTGCCCTGGAGAGAACCAAGACGAAGGCGAGTAACGGCCTGTGCTTGCCGCCTCCCATAACCGTTTCAAAATTACAAGTAGCACACAGAACAGCCAGCATTCAGAACCGCCCGAAGGCTGGCTGAATGGAAGCCTTACGACTAGAGAAGTAAAGAAGGCACAGAGACGGCCTCGCTGAGCGGCCTTCTGGGTGCTGTGTACCCCCAGGTGAGCAACAAAGCCAGCCTCGGGCCCAGTTGCATTGAATGACTTCCACCAATCAGAGCAGACCACAACCGTGAAAGGACACACCTGGAGAGCTGCTGAATATTCTATATGATCCTCCCCTGGGGCCGCCCCTAAAATCTCCGCCCTTAAAACCCTTAGGATGGAGGGCCCAGTGCCTCTCCCTCCAGGGAGTAAGCCTGTCCCTTTCCCTAACCCCTTCCCCCTCCGGCACCGCCCCAGGTCCGTTACCATTGGCTCCAAAGGCCCTTCCTTTGCCTCTGTAACTTGTTTCCTAAGCCCATTTCTTCTAGGAATTATTGCCATTTACCAAATAACTGTTCTCTTACAACAACACAGGGGGACTGACCTGGAGGTGAGGTTCTCATTCCAGGATTTCAGCGTGTTAGCAATGGCCTTCTGGTTTTTGGGTATGATCTCCCCAAAAGCTACCCAGTCAATGGTTTTTAGAGCAAGTTTTCGCCCAGCCATCTTGAGATCCTGGAAAATAAAACAGGTCAGATCAAAACTGGGCTCTTGGAGAGAATTCTAGGGAGGCCATCTTGGAAACATGCCAGTCTTTCAGAGACAGATCCGCATCCTCCGAGGGCGTGGTGGACGTACGTATCAACTAAAGAAACCAGGATGACTAACTCAGAAAAGGCCAGCGCAGCTCTTCCAATTCAAGGTGTGCAGCTTGACCCGTAAATATATTCTTCCCCCTATGCTCCTCCCTCCATTCTCCAACTCCTAACTCATCCTAAAAACCCCGATTCTCTGGTGTTTGTTTTCCATGTACCTTTGGAAATATTGCTGAAGTAACACTCATGCCTTGCATTAAAGTTAAAAATTAAATTAAATGCGTTTCCACTCAGACTGTTTCATTCGCTGACTCTCCAGTGCACGGAGCTGACACATACCCCCGTTCCCACCAAGGCTTAAACAGAGCAGACTCTAGACAGGAACCTCGGCTCCTGGGAAGTGAGGGTCTCCTCAGCCCTGCTTACTCAGGAAGCTGGTGAAAGGATCAAATGAAATCGCGCACGTCCATTTCTCTAGTTTTATATACAAACTTAAGAGGCTCTGGAGCCCTCCCTATCAGATCGGCCACACGCCTGCACTCCTTACTCCTGTCTGATGTATCCCGGCGGCAGCGGCACACTGAGCGTGCCACGGGCAACGCCCTAAGCGTGTACGTGAATGTGAGACAAGGAGGAAAGTGATTACAGCCCTTTTGTTTTTAGTAACTCTTCATTGTTGGAAGTATTACATGTCTCCCCTTTCCCCCCAGTGGGCCCCCTCCAGCCCACCCCGGTCCCCCACCCCGTCCCCCATTGTCTGCGGCCATGGCCCAGGCACATATGTATATAAGGTTCTTGGCTGATTACTTCGCACCCACCGCAGCCATTTTTAAATAAGACCGAAGAGAGTAAAACAGTCGACTGAAACTCGGTAAGACCAGTGTCAACATCAAGAGAAAGGCTGAAATGTCAAAGGTCTAGGCCATGAGGTGGGTCACAGGGAGGTGGCAGTGAATCTTCCCCAGATCTTTTTTTTTTTAAATATATATTTTTATTGATTTCAAAGAGGAAGGAAGAGAGAGACAACAACATCAATGCTGAGAGAGAAACATTGATTGGCTGCCTCCTGCACGCCCCCCACTGGGAATCGAGCCTGCAACCCGGGTATGTGCCCTTGACCGGAATCGAACCCGGGACCCACATTCTAACCACCAACCCAGATCTTAAAAAAAACTTGTCCAACACCTGCCGCTTCCCTTCCTTTCCCCTCACGACAGCCTGCTTGCTGGAATGGAGGGGAGGGGAGTTTTAAAGATGCCAGAGGAGCAGCTCCTTAAAGACCTGTCCAAGCACCAGGAGCAGGTGGGCTCCGTAAGGGAAGGGATTTCTGTCTCTTATTTGCTGGGGAGTCCCCAGCGCCCAGAACAGACCGTGCATAGAGGGGGCGCTCAATGAGGATCTGCTGAAGGGGAACATGAACCTGCAACTGAGGAGCTCCGATCAGGCCACAGCTCGAAGCTGGACCCCTCGGGAGGGAAAGGCGGACGCACCCAGTTGCATTACTATCTTCAGGGGACGCTGCTCCAGCACCCAACCCGGACGGGGCGCCCGGGCGGGAGCAGGTCCGCGGAGGCGCCTCGGTGAAAGGTGACCGGGTCGCAGCCGGGCCCGACGACCTCTCCCGCGGGGGAGGGAAAAGGAAGGAGCGCGGGGCAGAGCGGCTCCAGCTGCACCCGGGCCCGCTTCCAGCGAGGCGCCCGCAGCCTGGCGTCCTCGGCGGCATTGCGACAAGGGTCGGCGCGAGGTTTGGAGGCGAAAGAGCAGGGGAACCCCCTGGGGTCGGACCCTGCGTCCCAACCCGACTCACCTTCACCGACCCCGGCGGCCCACGGTCCACAGAGGAAGCAACGGAAGTGCGTCACCGGAAGGGCTTCCCTCAGCCAACCACTAATCCAAAGGGGCGGGCCTTGCCGCGCAGGTTAGCCAATTACAATGAAGGTTCCTTCCGGAAGTCCCGCCCACAAGGGCGGGCACAGCGCCTCCACGGTGCGGATCCCCGGGTGCTGGTTGGGGGCGCTCGCGGCCTCTCCCCGGCCCCACCCCCGCCGATGGGCCGGCCCGGCTCTCCCTCCGCGAGATGGGCCGGCCCGGCGGCGCGCGGGCAGTGGCGGCGGCGGCGGCCCAAGATGGCGGAGCTGCAACTGGACCCGGCGATGGCCGGGCTGGGAGAGGGGGGTGGGAGCGGGCTGGGCGACGGGGGCGGCCCGGGCCGCGGACCTCCCAGCCCTCGCCCCGCCGGCCCCGCCGGCCCCACGTCCCGCGGCCATAGCCGCCCGCCCGCCGCCGCCGCGCAGCCGCTCGAGCCGGGTCCCGGACCCCCCGATCGGGCAGGGGGCGCCGGCGCGGCCCGCTGGGTCCGGCTGAACGTGGGCGGCACCTACTTCGTGACCACCAGGCAGACCCTGGGCCGCGAGCCCAAGTCTTTCCTCTGCCGCCTCTGCTGCCAGGAAGACCCGGAGCTGGACTCGGACAAGGTGCGCCCCGCCCTCGGGCGCGCCCCCGGCCTGCAGACCCCCGCGCTCCTCCTAGGCTGGCCCCCCAGATTCCTGTGGCACCCCCCTCGCAGGCGGGCCCCGGGCCTGGACCCCCTCCCTTCCCTCCTCCCTGCAAGCTGTAACCCCGGCAGCTCTCGCCCATGCCCCGGCGCACCCCAGGTTTCTCTCTGACCCCACCCTTCTTTCGGTGGCAGCGGCTCGCTCGCCACACCGCCCACCCGCACGCACGGGAACCCCTTCTCCGGATTCCTCTCCACCCCTCATCCCAGCCCCTCGGGTCTGCATGAGTTTCCCCCTGGCTCCCCGTCAGCCCCTCACTGCCGGTGCCAGGTCCGCCCAGAACTGGGTCAGGGTGAGCCAAGGCATCTTTGTAGCTTTCTCAGACTTCCTCTCGGACCCTCTGCCAAGTTGGGTGAAAGCCTGGGTTAGAGGATGGTTCGACACGGCTGCCATCACACTCCTTTCCCGGGGTCACGGCCCTTGAGCTGGGCGCTGGGAGCAATCGCTGTCCGAGGTCCATCTCTGAGATGAGATGCATTCCTTGGAAGGAGGTTGCCATTTCCGGTGCCAACCCCAGAGCACGGGTTCAGATCCAGGGAAAAGGAAAACAGGAATGCTGTTGGGCAAGATGCATCGCTGCTCACTAACAGCGGGAGAGGACCCAAGAGACTTAACCCATTTCCAGTTTGGAACTGTTGTTTTTGTGTGGTTTTTTATTATTATTATTATTATTGATTTCTTACAGAGAGGAAGGGAGAGAGATAGCCAGAAACGTCAATGAGAGAGAAACATCGACCAGCTGCCTCTTGCACACCCCCCACTGGGGATGTGCCCACAACCAAGGTACATGCCCCTGACCGGAATCGAACCCGGGATCCCTCAGTCCGCAGACGGATGCTCTACCACTGAGCCAAACCGGTTTCGGCTGTGTGTTTTGTTTTTAACTTGACACATTCAGCTTTTAGTTCCCAGCCTACAGGAATTGATCATTGCTTACATCACCTTGTAGCCCATATACCCATGCAGCCCGTTACCAGGAAGCAGACTTGGGGCTGAGTAAACATGGGTTGATTTCACTGACCTCTCCTCTAATCAATCTCCGATTGATAGAAACCTGTCCTGCCCTGACTTTAAAGAGATTCCCAAACCTCACTTTTAAAGGAATTGTTTTTCATCCACCCGAAACCTCCCTTATTGCAATAGATTCCGTTTATTCTTCTCTCTTTTACTGTAAAGATGAGTAGGATCAGAACTGCTCAGAGCCATGCCCTGGCAGTGCCCAGCTTCCTCTGGGCACAGAGCTGGGGTGTGTGAGGTGCAGCTGGCACTGCAGACTGCCACTGCCGTTGGCCTCGAACCCAGGAGCATTGCCAACTACACAGGTTTTCTTAGAATTAGGAATATGACTCAGGGACAAGAGGGAATTCAGAATGTCCATCTCAAACAGAGATTTAACCACAGCTATGGCGTTTTTCTTCCTCCCTTTCTTAAAAAACACAACAAAACACACACACACAACAATAGCCAGAAAAATTGGTCATTGTGTCCAAGGAAATATTTTAAAAGTTCAAGTAAACACCTACATGATATGACTGTCCATCCGGAACATCTCACCTTAAATTATCTTAAAGTACCAGATACATAAAGCTAGTCTTCCTGCCAGTAGTTTGTGATATGCAAACGTCTAGCAAAACATGCCCTCTCATGATTTGTGACCAGGTTGATACCCTGCCCTGACTCCGTCTAAAAGCTCCCCGGCGATAACCCTTGTGTTTGTCTGCAGGATGAGACGGGGGCCTATCTGATTGACAGGGACCCCACCTACTTTGGTCCTATCCTCAACTACCTCCGCCACGGGAAACTCATCATTACCAAGGAGTTGGCAGAAGAAGGTAAGAACATTTGACCGGCCATTTCCACAATTCAGGCCGAGTCTGTTTCACAGCTTTGACGTTTGTTTGAGACTTGCATTGCGCTCACGTGCAGGTATAATGAAGGCTTATGAGAGTGAGCAGGGAGCCTCCGTTACTCAGCGGCGTCTGAGCGAATCTTATTTAAGGAAGCTCGTCACGTTCTGCTCGTCCACCGTAATGAGAAGGGGAAGAGGTAGCTCAGCTTTGCCAGTAGCTTTGGGAGCTTTTCCCAAACCTGCAGAACGTTCAGGATCCCTTTTTGCGTCTCCTTGTATGCTAGCAGTGAATGTCTGTAGCCTGAAGCAACACATCTCTGATACCTAGTTATTTATATTTTTAATTTTAGTTTGAACTTGCAGCTGTAAAGAAATAATAAAGGCCTGGCCTCATTTCTTTTAAGACTGGCCTCGTGCCTCCTCGTCAGTTTTTGCAGCTGACCTAATTCATTCTCCCATCCATTGTCAGCTTCATCACCAGTGGCCTCATCCTTTTGTTTTTTAGGGGGTTTAGACTAAGTGGGTCTAGCTGTCTTTGTGAAAGGCTTGGTCTCATCGAAGACCTTCGGTCGAAGACGGGGGCCTGTCCCCGAGCCCAGGGCACCCTGATCGGGAATGTTCACTGAGTAAGGAAACCGTAATGGCTGTGCTGGTTAATTAAGCAGCTGCAGAACACCTCTGATCTCCCAGGGAAAAGAGAGCGTGCTCTCTCTTTCTGAACGCCCTCTTTACAAAACAGAAACGCATTTCCAATGCACACAGAAGTAACGGGCATGGCACAGCAAATCCCATGCACCCACCATCCGGCTCCCAAATTGCCAAATCGGGTAATCTTGTTTCTTGAAAAGAGGACTCTTAATGCAGTTCTTTTCTAATGCCTTTTCAAAAACTTTTATTTTGAAACAATTTCAAACTAGGAGAAAAGGGCAGGAATGGTACCAAGAACTCCCTTTACCCAGACTCACCAACTTTTAACATTTTTTTTTTATCATGTTTGCATTATCATTCACTCATTCTCCTCCACCCCTCCCACAGGTTCATTTCTGAACTATTTGAGAATAGATTCTAGACTTCTCCCCTTAATACTTCAATGGATATTTCCCAAGAACAAATCTATTCTCTTACATAACCTCAGTATAATGATCAGATTGAGGGAATTTAATACTGATGAATACTTTTATCTATAGCTTATTTTCCAATTATGTCTACTATTCCAATAATGGCCTTTAGAGTAATTTCTTTTTTCCTGGAACAGGATCACATATCCCATATAGCTGTCCTGTCTGAAGTCTTTGATTTTATGTGGCATGGGATTCTTCCCATTATTGCCTTTTATATTGTTCAAACAATAAGCATTCTGTTAAATTTGGTCCACATATACTTACACACACAACCCACCCCCGGTCTTGTTTAGGATAAACTGCAAGCTCAGGTACAAACTGCAAGCTCAGGAGTTATCTGATGCGACCAGTTCCAGGAACTAAGTGGTAGATGGCCACGGTGTCCTGCAGCTAACGGCAGGCACAGGAGAGTCAGGGAAGGCCGGTCAGAAACTAAAGGTGAGGGAGCGGACAGGACAGGCCCTTCTGCTTGGCTCCCTTCCGCTGGGCAAAGGGGATGGGTGCACCCTAAACAGCAAAGAAGCCTCTCGCAGGCTGCGGGGGAGGCTAGACTGGCATCTGAAAACTGCAGCTCTCGGCAAATACAAACGCCAGCCTCTCCCGCCCTCGGGGAGCTCACGCGTCTCTGACTGCAGTCTGGCCTTGTTCCAGGTGTCCTGGAAGAGGCAGAGTTCTACAACATCGCCTCTCTCGTGCGGCTGGTGAAGGAAAGGATACGGGACAATGAGAACAGAACTTCCCAAGTAATGGATTTTGAATTTTTAAGGGGAAACTACCTCAAGTGTCTGTCTGTCCGTGTGTCTGAGTGTAGTTAGGAAAGGGGGACTTGCCCTCGGCGCCTGAGGTCTGTGTGGCAGGCTGTCCATCTGCCAGGCAGGCAGCATGTCCCCCACCAGGCTGTTCAGAACAAAGAAAACGGAGGAGAAGAAATAACAAAGAAAACTCATGTCCCTTTAGAAGAACGGGGAGGCAGCCACTCACCATCTGGCAGTGGGAGGTCCCAGCCCTGCTCTCGCGGGGAGAGCATCTGTCTCCTCCCGGAAAGGCCAGGCGAGGTCCCGCCTGCACCGCGGGCTGCTCTTCGTCAGGACCAGCCCTCACTGTGTGACCACCGCACGTCGGCTCCTGCAGCCGCCTGAAACCAGTCTCCTGGTGTGGACTTCAGAAGCTGCTCGGCCTACTGTGCTCCTGAGAACATAATATCAAGCTTCTGATTTTATCATGAAGCCTAGATTTTGGCATTAACTCAGTAGATAACAGTCACAAAAGTGAAACACACTTTCCCCCCTAGTTTGGGAAGGGAAGACATAGAGCAGCGGTCGGCAAACCCATTAGTCCACAGAGCCAAATGTCAACGGTACCACGACTGAAATTTCTTTTGAGAGCCAAAAACCGACTTCTGCACATGGGCCATGAAGTTTCAATCGCACTGTACGTGCGCACCCGCTAGTGGTATTTTGTGGAAGAGCCACACTCAACGGGCCAAAGAGCCGCATGTGGCCCTCGAGCCAAAGTTCGCTGACCACTGGCACAGAGCATACTTGGCTTGTTTTATGTCATCCATCATGTGTCTTAAGAGGCCACAGTAGCTTCTGTTAGGCCCTTGGGACTCGGACCACGGAGAAGTCCCATGCCCTCAAGAAGCTTGAAGTCAAGCAGGAAAAGCAAGACACCCCCTTTCACGTGTGTAGGCTCTACTTTAAGTACAACTGCAGTACCAGGCAGGGCCAGACTTCGCCGTGACTGTCTGTTCTGTGGCGTGACGTGCCTCCTCCCCCATCAGATCCCGGTGGCGGAGGCTGTTGCCACGTAGAATTTTCCTGTGATTAAGAAGAGGGCAGTACATTTCTTTCCACAGTAGTTCCCTGCTCCTCCGGTGTTTGACTTGACAGATCCGTTTTCTGGCTCTGCATGGATTATCTGAATGGAATAACTGACACCTGAGATAAAAAATGAAGTTTCCCTCCAGCAGTTTGCAGAGGTGGAAAGAAGGGCACATTCATTTGGTTTCCATCCAGCTGAGGGCTGAAAGGCTGCTTTCATATCAAAGATGAATTTCCAGTTGGTTTGCAGATTACCAGTGAAATAGGATCTGGTGCCACCAAGCTTTTTGCCACCTCTTATCATATTTACAGGCGCCTTTCCCTGGTGTAGAGATTTAAGGGCTTAGATGTTCTGAAAGTTCTAACTCTCTCACCACGGTTCTGGTGGCCGGTCATTAGCATATGAAAGGCGTTTATCACTCAGGAGATTCCCAGGGCTCATTTTTTATTATTGCACACTCTGCAGCAGAATGTCATGTCTCCCACTGAGACACTCCCTGTCCGCTAGCATGGCAGAGGGTAAAGGTAGCTGGGACGTGTGTATGTGATGGGTTCCTAGTTCATGTTATTCCCATAAGAAGGTGTCACTGCCAATAAACCAAAACATAATCTACATTTTCCACACGTATGTTAGACATGAGCATGTGGCTTTCTTGTCCAAAGTAAGTTTGCTCTATTTTCTGTTTAGGAAAACAGAGGGAATCTAAGAATATAATTCATCCCTCCACACTTGAGAATAATTTTCCCCACTGACTCATCTCCCTGGCCCCTTGTGTGTGTTGGAGAAGTTTTTATTGTAAAAGGGGACAGGTTGGCTGCCAAGAAAACATTCCAAGCAAATTCTTCTCAGCGTTTGTTCTTTTAGCCTCACTGTCCGTGGTTGTCGCAGGGCCCCGTGAAGCACGTGTACCGAGTCCTGCAGTGCCAGGAGGAGGAGCTGACACAGATGGTCTCCACCATGTCTGACGGCTGGAAATTCGAACAGGTATGTTTCCTAAGCGATACAGCCCCAGTGTCTCCCCGGGCGTCCACCCTCCAAACACGGGGCTCCACAGCCAGGTAGGAGAGAGAAACATCCATGTGAGAGTGCAACATCGATGGCTGCCTCACACATGCCCCCAACTGGGCACAGAACCAGCAGCCCTTCGGTGCACAAGACAGTGCCCAACCAACTGAGCCACACTGGCCGGGACTCATTTTTTTTCTCCCCCCAGAGGGATTTTCTTCAGAAATGCGTGTTGACGCATCTAGAATAATTATCTAAAGAAGACTAGGATTCACCAATAGCCCTTCCTTTGTTTGCCTCAAGGTCAGAACTTTATCATCCTCGTTGTGTGTGTCATGGGCAGAGAGAGCATGGTGAGCTGCAGTGATAGGAGAGGAAGGAATCAAACGAATGGTTACCATCCGCGGCTGTGGATTCTGTTCTTGTAGCTTTGTGCCATTAGGTGGCAGAATTGTCCTGTTCATCCACTTTCTCCAAAGCATGGGGGCTGAGCATGAGCAGAATGAATATATTGTAATTTTATTTGGATCCTGCCAGTTTTTATGTAGGCCAGTTGAACTGTTACCATAACTTACCTTCTCAGAAGTTCCTTTTTGTGTCTCTGTCATCAGAACAGACATTGGACTTTTCCTCCCACGGACCTCCCATGCAGTTCTGCCTGTGTGTCCTTCTAGTCTTGTCAGGTGTGGGTTGCAAAATGTTGCCATACATCCACTCCAGAAGTGTTTCCCCAATTAAAGTCTTTTTTTTTTTTTTTTAATATATTTTATTGATTCTGTGGCACTTTGTGGTGGAAGGTCCTTGTGTTCACTATGTCCTTGTTTTCTCAGCTCATCAACATCGGGTCTTCCTATAACTATGGGAACGAGGACCAGGCCGAATTCCTCTGTGTCGTCTCCAGAGAACTAAATAATTCCACCAACGGCATCGTCATAGAGCCGAGCGAGAAGGCGAAGGTAAGAGGCTGCTTCCCCAGGGGCCCTGTCTCGTTCCTTCCCCTCTCTTCTCAAGGCAGCTTTGCGGTTCTTCATTGGGTCTTTTGATTATTGTAATTTAAATCAAGACTTATGAGCAGTGAGAGGGGCTAGAAAACACACAGAAAAGAGAAGAGTGTTCCCAGCCTCTGTCGAATCAGTGAGAAAGGTTATTCCTCTGATCCCCCAAGGTCGGCATTCTGAACCTCAGCATTAGTGTGCAAAGTCCCATATGTCACCATTATTCTTTGAAACTGTCCTTTCCCTGCCTCAACAAGAATTAGGTTACCTTGGTGGCTTAAGTTACCGGAAAAGTGTTGTACACAGTTACCTTCTCCCTCCGTGGGGCCCCCTGAAACCACTTGGAAGGCCCCACATGTGTCCCGACCCGTTCCCTGGAGCCGCGGTCACTAGTCTCCAATCAGAGTGCTGGGGGGGCCCCGTCCTGCCTCGCTTCCCGGGTAACGGATTGGCTGCTGCTCGCCGGGGCCAGTGGGAAGCGGTGGGCCTCCTTTCTTCAGTCTGCTTAGCAGCTGGGCCTAAGCACTCTGCACCCGGAGTCCACGCCTCAGCCCCCTCCCGCCTTCCTCTTCCAGATTCTTCAGGAGAGAGGGTCTCGGATGTAAAGGCCAGAATCCTGGACATGGAGAGCGCCCGGCAGAGCACCTCTGGAAGTTAGACTGGCTCCTGTGCAGTGAGCTCCTGGGAGCAGCGCTGAGCCTGCCCCCCGTGGGGAGTTCTGGTCAGACCGAAGGAGCCGCACCCCACCCACAGGAACCTGAAGACAGACGTGACTTCCGGCTGCAGATACCTTTTCAGAAACCTGCTTTGTGTCCTAGCCAGCGCTATAACACACCTGTACAACCGCGTCCGGGCTGGGTTCCCAGTGGGGCTGGGCCGGGAGGGAGAGGAAGGCTGCTCCCGCCGCGCTGTGCTGCAGGAAGGGGAGCAGAGAGGACAGCCCTGAGCTGTGCCCGGCCTTCACCGGAGTGTGGCGAGGTGGCGCTGGCACCAGCCGCTCTGTAACCATCTTCCCTCCCTCTATGCACCGCACACTAACGTAGCAGACGCAGAGGAGTCTGGCTCCCATTTGTCGAACTGAACGGAGGGTTTTGGTAAAGGACAGAGCACCCCACATTCCTATGAACTAAGCCTCTCTGAGGACAGGAGGATGGGGAGTGCTGCTCGTTTGGGGCGATCGGCTGCTGCCACGTCCAGCTTCGCCTGCCTGTCTCCGAAGCCCGGGCGGCCGGGCGGCTGGCCTCGCCAGGAAGAGGGTGGAGGCAGGCGGCGTTCTGCACCAGGTGAGACGGACAGATGGGAGCTGTAGGTAGTCGGTGTAACTGCTTCCTCGGCCTTCTCTTACCCTCCCTCGGTCCCTCTTCCTTCCTGACTGTTTAAACTGGGATGAAGGGACTTGGGACCCCTGGTGGCATGGGGTGCGGATGGCTGTTTCTTTAAGAGTTGCCAAATGCGTCCTGTTCTGGTGTCCAAAGTGTTATTTCTGTGATTGTCTCCTGGGAATGCCTTGACTAACATGTACTATTTGTCTGTGTGTCTCTTGGTCGCTCACTCTGGCAGCCCTGCCCCCCAGCCTTGTCAGTGACCCCCCACCTTCCCGCTGGAGGGTATGCGTTTGCGGGGCAGCCTGAGGACTCCCTCCCTCACCCCGCCGCACTATCACTTCCTTCTGGGGAGCACCCTGCCCTGGAGGACCGAACGCTGTCTGCCCCGGGGAGCTGAGCTGTGGCCACAGCTTGTACCGACCTCCTCAGCGTTGAGTCTCAGAGCAGCCATGACTGCCCGGGGCCGGAAGCCTTGTGTTCCCTGATGCCCTGAGCGTGCCAGGTGGGCCTAGACGGGAGGGGGCCTCTCCAACACCCATCTGTGAGCCACCGCCAGCCAGAGCTGCTGGTTTCTCCGCAGCTCAGCTGCTTGCTGGGGACCCGGGGTATAATTTTTGGATGTGACTGGAGACTGTGCCAATGTCTCTTGGGCTTGTGGCCTGCGTGCGCATGCCCAGGATTCTCCCTCTGACCCTATTTCCCTGTGTGAAGTAGGATAGACGTGTGTCTGCTGCCAGACGGCTGCATGCCAGCCCGAGGTGCACACTGGCACCTCAGAAGTCTGGCCAGCGCCCAGGATCTTTACTGCTGTGATGTCGAGGAACTTCTGCCTTCAGTAAAGGCCGTCACCTTCCAGAAAGGGTGTAGGCATCCATCCTGTCATCTTCTGGGGGGAGAGGGGGGTAAATATGTCAGGGAAAAGCCGCTCTGATAGGACAGAGAACTGGAGGGGTCTCTGCACAACTGGAATGAGGAGCCTCAAATGAAAGGAGGGCGGGACGCGCCCAGTGAGACGTGCTTTCCTGGGCACTGGGCGCGCTGCTGACCAGCCTGGTCCCGGCCACGGGAGGCGGCGGAGGCGGGCGCGGCCAGCCCCTGGGATGCCTCTCCTCGCAGAAACCCGCCGCGGCCTGGGACGGCCTGCCGAGCCGCTCAGCCCTCCGAGCAGCAGCCTAAGTGACGCTCTCGTCTCCTCGAGGCTGGCTTTCCCCCGCTCCCCTCCTGGCAGCCCTTTCAGTGGCTCCATCGCTCCGGAAATCTCAGGTCATTTGTTTCTTACTGGGAAAGTATTTTACCCAAACCCTTCACGAGCCAAAGGGGTGTTTTTCTTAAAAGCCTTCCCCCCCCCCCGGCAGAGTCTGGCTAATCAGAGGCCTGGCCGTCGGTTGGGGGTGCCACGTGACCAGTGACCCATCCTCCAGCTTCCGGCGCTGCCATGGGGAGTGTCTTCCTGCTTGTCTGTGGCCACAGGCCGTGCGGGCCAGGCCTGGGGAGCAGCCGGTATCCGAGTGGCAGACAGCAGTGGGCTTGCCATGTGCTCAGAGCTGCTCTGCCCTTGGCGGTGAGGGGGGCCAGCCTCTAGGATGACTTCGTCCCTGCGGTTGTAGCTGATCTCAGGGGTGTCGGGAGGGAGGGGCGGCTGCTGAGGGGCAGGGCTGAGAGGACACCCACACCCTGCAGCGCGGCCTTCGGTCCTGACATCAGGGAGCAGGCCCCCACCTGTGGGTGCCCTCTGTGACAGAGTGCTGGGAGAGTGGAATGGTGCGCCTGTCCTTTTCCTTTTGGTCAATAAACACGTGACACGAACTGCTGAACCTGAGACCGTTGGTGTGTGTTTCCCAATATCGGCAGCTCCTGTGTCCACTCACCATCCATGTGTCCACTCAGCTCCTGTGTCCACTCACCATCCATGTGTCCACTCAGCTCCTGTGTCCACTCAGCTCCTGTGTCCACTCACCATCCATGTGTCCACTCAGCTCCTGTGTCCACTCACCATCCATGTGTCCACTCAACTCCTGTGTCCACTCACCTCCCATTTGTCCACTCAGCTCCTGTGTCCACTCACCATCCATGTGTCCACTCAGCTCCTGTGTCCACTCACCATCCATGTGTCCATTCAGCTCCTGTGTCCACTCACCATCCATGTGTCCACTCAGCTCTTGTGTCCACTCACCATACATGTGTCCACTCAGCTGTGTCCACTCACCATCCATGTGTCCACTCAGCTCCTGTGTCCACTCACCATCCATTTGTCCACTCAACTCCTGTGTCCACTCACCACCCATTTGTCCACTCAGCTCCTGTGTCCACTCACCATCCATGTGTCCACTCAGCTCCTGTGTCCACTCACCATCCATTTGTCCACTCAGCTCCTGTGTCCACTCACCATCCATGTGTCCACTCAGCTCCTGTGTCCACTCACCATCCATGTGTCCACTCAGCTCCTGTGTCCACTCACCATCCATGTGTCCACTCAGCATCCACGCTCCTCCTGCCCTCTCAGTGGTGAGCTTCACCTCTGCCAGCAGGGCCGCCCACAAAGGCCCGATCTCCTGCTGCCAAGACTGCCCGGCGGTGCTGGGCCTCCCTCCACCCCTTCCATTTCCCTGAATCTGAGAGGACTCGGTGCTAAGGACCAGAAGGTGGGACAGATGGGCACCCACAGAGCTGGAAAGAGATGGGGGAGGAGTGAGGTGTTTTGTAGTTTTTATTTCAGAGAGAAGAAGGGAGAGGAGAGAGAGAGAGAGAGAGAGAGAGATCAATAAGAAACATTGACCAGCTGCCTCCTGCACACCACCTACTGGGGATGGAGCCCTGACTGAGATTGAACTGTGACCTCTTGGTTCATGGGGATGACGCCCAACCCAATGAGCCACACGGGCCGGGGGAAACAGTCCTCCAGGGAGAGGGTAAGTGACCAGTAGCCCGTTTCTTCTGCAAGGTAGAGGGTAAGAAACGAGAGGACCCATCACTTCCGGCACCAGGCAGCATGTGGGGTCCTCAAAAGGCCTTTGTCTCCCCCCTCCGCCCCCCTCTTCCCCATAGGAGACAACTGGACACAGAGGTCCAGAACCAGGTACAAGGTGGTGTCAGCAGGATCCAGTGAGCGGGAGACCCAGTGGTTACCAGGCTGTGGGGAAAGGAAGGGCCTGGGGCACACGGATGTCGCAGGTGGAGTGATTACAGGACGCTCCGGGCCCCAGGAGCAAAGGGAGGAGTCGGGGTTGTGAAAAGGGGGAAGCCGCTGTCCAGGGACTGGGGAAAGCTGAGCTCATGGTGTAGAGGCACAAAGGTAAGGTGCCCGGACGTCCCGCTTTTGGCGGGACAGTCCCTATTTTTAACAATTTGTCCCGCGTCCCAACTTTTTTAAAACGCCGAGAGACGCGGGACAAATTGTTAAAAATCGGGCCATCTGGTCACCTTACACAAAGGACCCTGCTGGGAGCTGCTCCGCTGCCCCGGAGAAGCTGCAGCGCTGTGGCTGCTCAGCTGGTTGGAGCACCGTCCCAGGCACAAAAGGTGGAGGGTCGGGCAATCACCTAGGTTGTGGGTTCGGTCCCTGGTTGGGGCAAGTACGGGAGGCGAACCGATGGGTGTTTCCCACATCGATGGTTCTTTCTCCCTCTCTCTAAAATCAAACATCTCCTGTGAGGATAAAAAAATACATAAATAATAAAGATCTCTTCCTCCGCCAGCAGGAGGCAGCACAGTGCCGACAGTCATTGCCCCGGCGTCTGAAAGAGTCACACCTGTTTCTAAGCAATTACTCCTCACACAGGCCGGGTGGGTGAGAGAACACGCTGTTTGTGAGGGGCAGTTCAGGTCCTGTGGCTACCTGATGCCCCCTGGTTAATCTGCAAAAGAAAGCAAGGATCTACTCCACAGCCCTGGCGTTCTGCCTGCTGGCGCTCCACGGAGGGCTTGCTGCCGGCTGCCGGCAGCACCAGCACCTGGAACAGATCACCGAGTGGCCAAATCTGCTGTCACAAAGCCCAGGTGGCAGCCTCTGGCTAAACTTGCAGCAAGAATCACCCCGCGCATTCTCATTAGGAAAGCTTTCCACCGGAGGGAACCGGCACTCCATGCAGCCAGTTAATTCCTGGATCGGTGTTCTATGCCGGGCAATTCAGTTGTTTCCAAGTTCTCTGTTCTCATTTTCTGTAAAAACATTTTCATAAAGGCCCAGCCAGGTTGGCTCAGTGATTGAGCATCGACCTATGAACCAGAAGGTCACAGTTGGATTCCCGGTCAGGGCGCATGCCCAGGTTTTGGGCTTAATCCTCAGTATGGAGTGTGCAGGAGGCAGCTGAAGGATGTGTCTCTCTCATTGATCTCTCTCTATCCCTCTCCCTTTCTCAAATCAGTAAAACAGCCCAGTCAGCGTAGCTCAGTGATTAAGCATCAACCTATGAACCAGGAGCTCATGGTTCAGTTCCGGTCAGGGCACATGCCCAGGTTGCGAGCTCAATCCTCAGTGTGGGGTGTGCAGGAAGCAATCAGTGATTCACATAATTAATATTTCTATCCCCCTCTCCCTTCCTCTCTGAAATCAATAAAAAAAAAATACATTAAAAAAATAAAAGCAATAAAATGTTTCAAAAAATTCAATTTTTAAAAAACATTTCCATTAAGATTGATGTTTTCCATGTTGACTTTATGGTGGAATTTATAGGCTTTGCCCTTTGTGAGCTTTCTTTTGAGGCTATTATTTCCTCCAAGTCAAATTCGGCTGCTCAAAATCTAACTTTCATAACTTTTTGAAACAAAAAGTGACATACCACCAACGTCTCAGGACATAGGTCCTGTTGGACAGGGACGAATGAGAAGGAGAAAGACGAACAAGAAGCCCTCAGGGCAATGAGGGTCCCCCTCCAGTTTTGCTCATCCCTCTTTTCCTCCTGAGGGTCAGGACCAGAGTGGGAAGCATCAATCTTTAGGATCAGCGATCAGATAATGATCGGACCAACCCGCTCTAGACCAAGAGGGGGCCTTGACTTACCATCTCCTACCACACCCCCGTGGATTCATCAGAGAAGAGCCATGGTCCAGAGACACTCAATTTGCCCCAGATCCTGCTGCCACTGAGTTGCCATTTCCCCCCTCGGGTTCCCATGAGTCCCTCAATCCCACTGCGCTGGCCCCGGGTGCAGTGGCAGCTCGGACTCCTGAAACGCAGGCCCCGGCTGAGGGAGCGTCTGCCGACAGGCAGAGCCATCGGCACCGCAGCAGGCCCAGCGTACACCTTCCCCGCTGACGTCACAAGCAGGAGGCTGGGCCTGGTCCCACTTGGATTGTGACGTCAGGAAGCAAAACTGAGGACAGTCAGAGGGAGTGAGGGGGCAGCTAGATAGGGAGACTGCAAAGCACAGCCGAAGGGAAAGGTGAGATGGTGGCCACCAGCCCCAGGGAGATGCAGGGGTGGGGTGGGAGCCCGCTAGACGGGACCAGGGGGGCAGGGGCCCTGCACCTGAGTGCCCGCGGGCTCTTCCCTTCCGACAGGCAGCCACGCCCTGGCCCTCCCTGACATGCAGAGAGGTTCACGTAAGTACCTGTGCCAGGGGAGGGGTTCCTTTCCCTTGTCCTGTGACTGCCCTGCCATCCACCCTCTCGTCCCGGACTTGTTCCAGGAATTAGGGCTGGGGACCAGGAGGACTCAGCCCCCAACTTCTGTCCCCGCTACAGGCTGACGGACGGCACTGTCCCTGTCCCCCTGGGCAGACAGCTGCCTCTCAGAGGAGCGGGGTACCCCTGTCAGGCCCCCTCAGCGCCTGCCCAGGCCTCCCCATGGCTTTGCTCCTTCTCCCCAGAGCCCGTCCGGGACCATGTGCCGGCCCCGCAGCCCCGGGCCCCGCCCTCCCGGCCTCCGCCCGGCCAGCTCCCGCCGAGGACCACCCGCAGCCTCTGCAAGTTGGAGGACCAGGTCCTCTGCCCCATCTGCCTGGAGGTGTTCCGCAGCCCGGCCACCACGGCCTGCGGCCACAACTTCTGCATGGCCTGCCTCCAGGGCTTCTGGGACCACCAGGCGGCCGTGGGCGAGACGCTGTACTGCCCGCAGTGCCGGGAGAGCTTCGCCTCGCGGCCGCGCCTCTGCAAGAACGTGACCCTGGAGGACATGGTGGCCTGCCTCACGCAGGCCGGGCCCCGCGACGTGCTCTGCGACTTCTGCGGCCCCCAGAAGCGCAGGGCCGCCAAGTCCTGCCTGCAGTGCATGGCCTCCCTGTGCGAGGAGCACCTGCGCAGCCACGCGGAGGACCCGGCCTCCCGGGACCACCGGCTGCTGGAGCCGCGGTGGGACTTCCGCAGCCGCCTGTGCCGCAAGCACGGCGAGCTGCGCGGCCTGTACTGCCGCAGGGAGGGCTGCTGCGTGTGCGGCGCCTGCCTGCGGGAGGAGCACCGCGGCCACGACGCCATCCCCCTGCAGGAGGAGCGCGCCCGCCGCGAGGTGAGCCGAGCCGGGGCCTGGGGTTCTGCGTTCCACTGACGGTGCCAGTCTTTCGCAAGCCCCTCTCCCACCTTTACCCCCCATCCCCTCACGCCCCAACCACCCACACACACCTTTCCCGGGAGGAAAATTCCGCAGCCGTTAGTGTGGCCAAGAGCCCTGGCTGGTGTGGCTCAGTGGACAGAGCATCAGCCAGCGGACTGAAGGGTCCCAGGTTCCACTGCAGTCAAGGCATGTGCCTTGGTTGTGGACACATCCCCGGGGGGGTGGGGTGGTGGTGGTGGTGGTGCAGGAGGAAGCTGATTGACGTTTCTCTCTCATTGACGTTTCTACCTCTCTATCCCTCTCCCTTCCTCTCTGTAAAAAATCAATAAAATATATTTTAAAACAACAACAACAACAACAAATAAAAACGGGCAGAGACCTAGAGGAGGGGGTGGGCCCTCAGCCAGCACCCCTTCAGCTCTGCTCTTTCTCATCCTCACCCTCACCCTCACCCTCATCTCCTTGAAGCCTCTGTGCGTGAGCACAGGGCTGCTTGCAGAAGGCTTCTCCAAGGCGCCCCCTCCTCCACATCCCCTGTCCCCGTCACCAGGTGGAGTTGCGGCAGGTCCAGGCCAACGTGGAGAACCAGATGCTGATGATCACCTCCGACAGCCAGAAGCACCGCGAGCAGGTGGCCTTTCTCCTGGTGAGGCCGCCCCGCCCTCTGCTGGCCGCGGCGCCCCGCCCCAGGCGGAGGGACTCGGAGGGCTCGGCGTGGTGGGGTGGGGGCAGCGGGCAGAGAGGGAATCGGAGGGGGGCTGGGCACCATGACATGCAGGGAGCAGGGCGGAGCTCAGAGATGCCTCTCTCCGCACCCTCGCGCCTGCACCCCCAGAAACTGATCCAGACGATGCGCGATGAGGTGCACTCCTGCTTCTCCGGGATCATCCGGGAGGTCAGACAGCTGCAGGGGAAGGTCCTGGATTTTCTGGACAAAGAGGAGGCCGCCGCCCTGGAGAAGCTGGGCAGCTCCATCCAGCAGAGCCACAGCTGGCTCCTGAAGCTGGAGGCGGACAGCAGCTGGCTGCGCACCGTGCTCACCAACTCGAGTGACCAGCAGTTTCTGCAGGCAGGTCCCGTCCCCACCTCCGCGCCAGGCCCGGCCACCACCACCTTCCCTCCTCCCACAGACACAACCCCACCCCACCCCACCCCCATTCCTCCTCCCACAGACACGCCCCCACCCACCCCATCCCTCCTCCCACAGGCACACCCCACCCCACCCCCATCCCTCCTCCCACAGACACGCCCCCACCCTCCCCATCCCTCCTCCTACAGACACGCCCCCACCCCCACCACCCTCCCTCCTCCCACAGACACAACCCCACCCCACCCCACCCCACCCCCATTCCTCCTCCCACAGACACGCCCCCACCCACCCCATCCCTCCTCCCACAGGCACACCCCCACCCCACCCCATCCCTCCTCCTACGCCATCTGCATGTGGGGCGGCTTCACCGGGCCACTCCCCTGCCTCCCAGGTCATCTGTCCTGAGCTGACACCCACGCCCTTGGCTTCCTCCACCCCAGCACCCAGCCTGACCCTGCACCCAGCCTGACCCTCACATTCCTGCCTTCATTCCCCTGGAACAGAGGGGTGCACCCTAGGGTTCTGGGGGTCTGACAGTCTGTTTCTCCGCCCGCCCCCAGGCAGGGCTGGAAGTGAGGCAGAGCAATCTATAGAGCCGGGTTGAAACCCCATTTCTTTTTTTCCTATTTTTAAAAATATATTTTATTGATTTTGTACAGAGAGGAAGGGAGAGAGATAGAGAGTTAGAAACATCGTTAAGAGAGAGACATCGATCAACTGCCCCCTGCACACCCCCCACTGGGGATGTGCCCACAATCAAAGCACATGCCTTGACCGGAATCAAACCTGGGACCTTTCAGTCCGCAGGCCGACGCTCTATCCACTGCGCCAAATGGGTTTCGGCTTGAGATCCCATTTCTTTCCTCAGCCCGGGCCTGGTGCCACAGCCCGGTTGGCTGCTGCTGTGGGGGGGGCACCAGACAGGGTAGCTGGGGGGGGGGGGGTCAGGTGAAGGTCGGGGGCAGCCTTCTCTATGGGCGGGGCCGGGGCTGCCCCAACCCGGAGCTGGGAACTCCCAGCGCAGCTCTCCTTTCAGCACATCGCACCCCGAGCAGACTTCTAGGGCTGTCCCTCCCCTTGTCCCCCCGCCCCCCCCCACGCACCCCAGGAAGCATCTGGCAGGGTTTCCCACTAAGCAGTGGGAGGCTGCAGGAGGTGGTGCCAGCTCTGTTTCCTAAAATCACTCTGCAATGCGCCAGGCCAGGCCTTGGCAAAGCCTGAAGCTACGGTGTCCAAACGCCAGGAGCCGGGGGGGGGGGGGGGGGGGATGCCCAGGCTGGAGAGCAGCAGCTTCTCCACCTGCCCCGCGCCCTGGGCACCACCATGCAGAGGCGGGACCCTGGCAGCTGCCTGGGCCCTGGTGCAAGCTGGCACCACTGTCGCCGCCCCTCCCGCCCGCAGGAGTTTCCCAGGCTCAAGCTCTTCCAGGACCGCACGGAGCCCCTGATGGGCACCAGGTGGGAGGAGAAGCAGAGCTTCCTGAAGCTGCCCCAGACGCTGGCGGAGCTCCGGAGCCGCATGGTGGGCCTGGGGCTCAGCCTCGTCAACCAGCTCCTCCTGCAGGGTCCGTACTGGCCGGGCGCGGGCATTCCGGGGCGGGGACGGCCCTGCGGGGCAGCGGTGGGGGTTCCGGGCGTCGCAGAGGGCCCTGCTGGCCCATGTGCACCCCACCTCCACCCCCTCAACTCCCAGGGACCCTGCCCCCTGGGAGCCACGCCTCTGGGCTGGGTCCTTAGAGTCCTCCGTCTCCGCAGGCATCAAAATGAACTCCTACGAGGTGCTGCCCGCCCCCACGGACAGGAAGACGCTCCTCAAGTGTGAGTCCTCGGTCCTGGGGTCCAACCGCGGGGGAAGGGGGGAGCAGGGCCCCTAGGTGCCTCGACTTCCCCAGCTCCGCCCGCCTCTGCTCCGGCCAGGGCTCCCGAGATGCCAGCTCTCTGGCCCGGGACTGGAGACCTCAGGCCCGGCCTGTGCCCGCAGGCCCTGATAGGAAAGAAGACTCTGTGCTGTCCTACCCCGGGGGGGGGGGGGGGGGCAGAGAGACAAGGCCTCACCCACTGCCCAGAGGTCTGCGGCCGTCCCTGCCCTGTGTCCCTCCTCCTCTGTCCCCGCTGGGTGCCTGACCCCCTCCAGGGACTTTAGCTAGGCCAGCTGGCAGTCCCTGTCCATTTCTCCCTCAGCCCCCCTCTCCACTCCGCGTCCCCACCGCCCCCTCCCCCCGGCTGGGCTGGGCCCAACCCCCAGGACTGCCCTGCGGTCCCCAGGGTCAGGGTTGCCCTGCCCTCGGTGAGCCCTCCCTCTGAGGGTCCCCCTCCATAGCCCCCCACCCCCACCCCCGTTCCACTCTATCTTGCATCCTGAATAAGTAAAAAGGGAGACTGTGTTAGGGGCTGGTGAGGGCACAGCGGGAGCCTCAGCGCTCAGCGCTCCTAGGAAGGCGGAGCTTGGGCCCCGGCAGCGTGGGCTCCGCTGGGTGGGCGTCATCCACGCACCAGGCGGCTGCGGGCCAGGGCGCGTGGCCAGGCTGCGGGCTTGGCCCCAGCTTGGGGGGAGCAGGCAGAGCGAGGCAGCCGACTGGTGCACTCTCACACTGATGTTTCTCTCCCTCTCCCTCTCCCTCTCCCTTCCTCTTTCTCTAAATATCAATATTCTTTTAAAAGTAATAATTTCATATGTGTGTGTGTGTGGAGAGAGAGAGAGAGAGAGAGAGAGAGAGAGAGAGAGAGAGAGAGAGAAAGAGAGGAGAGAGAGACACCCTGGACCTTGGGACAACACCCATCTCATCCTCTAAAACCGTGGTCGGCAAACTTCTGCTCACGAGCCACATGCGGCTCTTTGGCCCCTTGAGTGTGGCTCTTCCACAAAACACCACGGCCTGGGCGAGTCTATTGGAAGAAGTGGCGTTAGAAGAAGTTTTAAGTTGAAAAAGTGTGGCTCTCCGAAGAAATGTCCATCGTTGTGCTGTTGCTATGTGGCTCTGTGGACCGATGAGTTTGCCGACCGCGGCTCTAAGCGATTTCTGCACATCCCCACCACCCACCGGTCAGGGACCTTAAGGGGGTGGAGGGTCCTCTGCCAGGGGGGCCCTGACCCGGCTGCTGTCTCCCCCCCCGCCGCCCCCCAGATTACTGCAACCTGAAGTTCGACTCGGCCTCGGCCAGCGAGGAGCTCTTCCTGTTCAAGGAGACGCACTCGGCGCTGAACCTGGGCGTGCTGCTGGAGCCCTTCCCAGCCGGCGGCCCGCTGCGCGGCTTCAAGCAGTGGCCGCAGGTGCTGTGCTCGCGCGGCCTGGCCGAGGGCCGCCACTACTGGGAGGCCGAGGTGTCCAACTCGTGGGTGAGCCTGGGCGTCACCTACCGCCGCAGCCCCTCGCCCGGCGGCCCCCGCGGCAGCATCGTCTGCCTGCTGGGCCGCAACCCCGACTCCTGGTGCCTGGAGTGGGACTCGCTGCGCTTCTCCGTGTGGCACAACAACACGCAGACCGTGCTGCAGGGCGCCTACCACCGCACGCTCGGCGTGGCCCTGGACTGCGGCGCCGGCTGCCTGTCCTTCTACGGCGTGGCCGGCGGCGTGAGCCTGCTCTACCGCTTCCTGGCCTCCTTCCTGGAGCCGCTCTACCCCGCCTTCATGGTCAGCAGCGGCGCCCTGATCACGCTCAAGCAGATGTAGGGGGTTGGGGAGGCAAATAAAGCTGGACTCCAGCGCTGGCCGGCCCGCGGGGTCCCCTGGCCAGGGGGGCGGAGGGGGACGGACTGAGGGTGGGCAGCGCACTGGTCACTCAGCAGAGCTGAATAGGAATGGCAGAGATCAACTGGCTTGCAAAAACCTAGAAATCTAGCATTTGGCCCTGCATTAGACAAAGTGTGTGTGCCAACTCCCACTTGGAAAAAAATCAATAGGAACGCACAGTCCTGGGAAGGACCAAGAGGAGAGAGGTGGATGTGCCAGGGGGAGAAAGGACCAGAGAGCCAGCCTTGGAGGGGAAATCAGGGCAGGCTTCCTGGAGGAAGCGCTATGTGAGCTGCTGTCTGAGGCAAAGGGTTATCCAGGGAAATAACGGGTTACCGGGGCCTGGGAATCCCAGAAAACAGGCAGGCAGTCCCGTCCGTCCCCACAGCCACAGGAGAAAGGCTCTGAACCAGGCTGGACTGTCGTCCCTGGGACTCGGGCCTTGGTTCTCCAGGCTGGTCCTGGCCACTCGGCACCAGGTACCTGTCCCTAAAGGCCTTGCGGCCTGAGAGTGGGTGGGGGTTGGGCCGGGTGGCCAGACTGAGAGGTGGCACCTGACATTGGGGGAGGGGGTGCTATGTCTGAGTTACTGGCTTCATTGCAGGCTAGAGGTCAAGGCCAGGAGCCCAGGCCCATCTCAGACCCCAAAGGCAGAGACAGGCTGCTGACCCTCCTGCCCAGAGCTGAGCATCTCCCACAACTGCTGTTGCATCGTCCAGGGGGGCTGTGGGACTGAGGCCACTCTGGGTGGGCAAACCTTAAACCATCTGCACCCTCCTCCGTGTTCCTGAGGCCGCCAGCCTGCCCCAGCCACAGGCCCACCCCACAGAGCTCCTCAGCCCGGCCTCTGCCACCCCACCTGCCAGGCAGTCCTCTGCCGGTGCCCTGGGACCCTGGCCGAGCCACTGCCCTGCCACCCTGGCGGGAGGGGACTGGGGACTCGGCCCCCCTGCAGCAGCCGCCTCTGCATTTCCAGCCTCAGCCAGCGCTTGTTCCCGGGCCTCTCCAGTGGGGGTTTCAGGGGGTTAATGATTGGCTCTGAGCGGCCATGAGGCCAGTCACAGGAGAAACTCCTTCGGGCCTCGGGGTGTGCCTGTATCCACCCCCGGGCCTGTTCTCTGTTCTCCGAGAAGTGAGTGACCCCGCTTCCCGGTAGGAGCCGGCTGGAGCAGGCTGCGGGCCTGCTCTGTGGTCTGGCAGGGGTGGGGCTCCCCTCGGCTCCTCTGAGCACCCTTGGCTGGCGTCTCCCGCCGACCCTCCTCCCTGCACCGATTCCAACCACTTTCCCCAGGGGCCGCAACCTGCTGATGGGCGGGAAGGAAATCTAAGTCTTTCCCCGATGGTCAGGAAAAGCCTTTCCCGCCAAAATGCCTAAATCTCGCCGCTCCACCCGCAAACCTTCACTGTCCCTGCGTCCAGGGGCTGCAGGCCTCTGCATCATGGGGTGAAGGTAAGGAACGCGGAGGAAGTGAATGTGTGGCCCTAGGCCAGTGGTCGGCAAACTCATCAGTCAACAGAGCCAAATAGCAACAGAACGACGATTGAAATTTCTTTCTTTTTTTGAAATTTCTTTTGAGAGCCAAATTTTTTTTAACTTCTAACGCCACTTCTTCAAAACAGACTCGCCCAGGCCGCGGTATTTTGTGGAAGAGCCGCACTCAAGGGGCCAAAGAGCCGCATGTGGCTCACGAGCCGCGGTTAGCTGACCACTACCCTAGGGGACAGGCCCTGCTCTTGCTGGCTGCCTGGTCTCAGAGTCCTTCCCCCTCCGGGCACTGACAAGGACAGGGGCGTGCCCTCACCTTCTGGCTCTGAGGGACATGGAGTTCCAGATTGGGGTGTGGGGTGACGCTGGCACATGACCCCCTGGGACACACAGGCTGAGACCACATCCGATGTCAGAGGAAAGTCACTGCCTTTCTCACTTGGAGTTCCTGGGCCCGTAGGCGTCCACACAGACAGAAATCATTTTGAAATCATGTCTAGTATTTCAAAAAGCCCATTGGTAAGCAGGTGAGGCTGCCCAGCAAAGCAAAATGTCAGGGTCCTTTGCTCAGGACTCAGCGTGTGTCTCATGGGGGACCCCATGGAGGGGGACCTCCGCGGTGCAAGATCCGCCAGTGCTCTTGGGTGATCCACGTCAGGGAACCCTGTCCCTCCCGTGGGAGGCCAGGGAGGGCCCGGCCCTGGTGCGCCCCACACACTCCTGCCTTCCTGCTCTTGCCCTGGCTTCCAGAGACTGTTCAGTTTAATGTGAGTCCAAACAGGCTGTAAACTAATCTGTCTCCAAGGAGTATTTCACTGAAAAATGTTCCGTGTTATTTCGTACAAAAGGATTGGGTAACTTTTAAATGTCTTTTTGCATTTCCTTTTTTTTTTTTTTTTTAGTTTATTTTTAGGAGAAACATCAATTAGTAGCCTCTGGCATGAGCCCCAACCTGGGATTGAACCCAGAGTCTGGGTCTGGGTCCTGACTGGAGATTCAATTCGCCAACCAAAGGAGCCGCACTGGCCAGGGCTGTTTCTTTGCCAGGCCGGCCACACGCCCCTATCCCACCGAGGACTCTCCATGCATCATGACTTTCTGTAAAAGTCATTTTAACGCACATTTTTACAAAATCAAATGAATGCAAAAGTCACGATTGTTAGAAATAAGGCGAGCCCCCCAAGTCAGGGGTCCTGGTAGAACATAAAACATACTCGGGAGCCAGGCAGCAAGGCAAACCTGTTTACTTCTGCGTAGAAGGGTGGGCACACTGAGCAGGTGGGCTGCTTGGGTTTATAATCGCTGATGCACGTGACCTGTCCTTTGCTCTTGATTGGAGCTCAGGCGCACAGTCTTTCGTGATTGGCTAATTCAAAGGAAAGGGGTTGGCCTTTGCTGTTTCAAGATGGCGGCCCCCAGGGGAGCTGTAAGCCATGCAGCCAACATGGCAGCTGCCAAGTCACACAGTCCAAAATGGCGGCTTTCTAAACTGTTCTTTGACAGAAAAGATGACTTGTTTATTCTCACACGATGGACAGAATATCAAAATGATAAATAAAGGTCAGACTGGACTGGGCACTTGTACCACCTGCCCCAGACCCCTCGCGCTAACCTGATCCAACAAAATGTTATTGGAAAACAGGTGATTGTTCCACTGGCCATAGTTTGTTGATCTCATTTATTTAAATCTCTTGATTACTGCGTGCTGTTGGCATCTCTGTAAATGTGAGCCCCACCCCGGGTCGGCCAGGGTCAGTGATTGACCATCGACCTATGAACTGGTTCAATTCCTGGTCAAGGGCAAGTGCCCGGGTTGCGAGCTTAATCCCCAATGTGGGGCCTGCAGGAGGCAGCTGATCAATGATTCTCATCATTGATGTTTCCATCTCTCTCTCCCTCTCCCTCCCTCTCCAAAATCAATAAAAAAAACTTTTTTAAAAAATGTTGCCTCACTCACCTCATCACAGAGGGTGTCACAGCTCTGGGGGCACTGGTGGGACTTAGTGGCTGGACCAAGGGGACGGGGCAAATATCCTGCAAAGCTCGGAGCCACCGTGCCTCACGCCCTGCTGTCAGCGTGGGTATGCACACCACACTGAGGCGAGACGTGAGTGACAGCCCTCGGGCCGCTGCCCCTTGCCAACACAAACCACAGGCAGAGCGGCAGAAGCCCAAGGGCACCCGTTTAGAGGCTTTGGCTCTTTGCCAGGTGCTTCTGGACCGGATCCTCCTCCGGGACCGGATTCTCCCTGCCTGGAGAACCTGTGTCTCGCTGCTTTGTGTTTCACGCACCTCGGAGATGACGGGAGGGTTAGACTTCTGCTCAGTTTGCTCCAATGTCCTACAAAGGCCCCCTGAGTTCTCTGTGGGCCGGGCACAGGGCTCCCCAGGAGGATGCGGTGAGAAGCAAGATGGTAGCTTGGTGGGTGGAGGGAACACGTCCAGCCACGCGCTGAGGTAAAGCCTGTTCGGGAATAGATGACAAAGGAGCCTTCCCACACCAGGTGACCCTGAAGAAGAGAAGCTGAGCCTTAGCCGGTTTGGCTCAGTGGGTAGAGCTTGGGCCTGTGGACTGAAGGGTCCCAGGTTCGATTCCGGTCAAGGGCACATGCCTCAGTTGCAGGCTCCCTGGTCAGGGTGAGTGCGGAAGGCAACCAACCAATCGATGTGTCTCTCTCACACCAGTGTTCCTCTCTGTCTCTCCTCTCTCTTCCACGCTCTAAAAAGTCAAGGGGAAAAGATCCTCAGGTGGGTTTGAAAAAGAGAGAAGTTCGCTTGATGCATGGAGAGTCCTCGGTGGGATAGGGCCGTGTGGCCGGCCTGGGAGACCAGCAGTGTCCATGGCCAGTTGTTGGCTGCTGTCAGGTTCGGGGTGAAAAGGGGGAGGCCAGGGCCTGTGGAGCTCTGCCATGCAAACGTCAAGAGTGGGGGACACTTCGTAAAGCACGTGACTGTCTACCCCTGTGCTGTACACCTGCGTGGCCAGACACGTGGAGGACACCGGAGGGAATGGTGTCCCACGAGACCACGGAAAGGGCGAATTTCAGGGAGGGAGGGAGGGTCAACGCTGGAGGCGGACGAGGACTAAGCGTGTCCATTGGATGTGGTTACACGGGGATGACCAGAGGGACAGAAGCCCAGCTTCAGAGGGTGCAGGGAGGAGGGGGTGTGGGAATGGGCCAGAGAGAGGAGGCGCCTCTCACACCAGGTCAGCCTGGCAGGGGCTGGGCAGAGGCCGCAGGGGGGAGGGGGAGAAAGAGGGCGGCCTGAGAGCCAGGGGCGGCCTGAGGGAGAGGGAGGCGGGAGGTGAGGGTGTGACCTTGGTGAGGTGGCGGCGGCGGGGAGACGAGTCCTGTGCGTGGGCTGTGGGGCACCTGGGCTGGAGGACGGGGAAGTGGGAGGTGGGTGTGCAGACCAGAGCCCCGCCAGGCACCAGCGGCCCCTGAAAAGCAGAGCCTTTGGAAGGTGAGTCTGGGGGAGGCCGGAGCCTGAGCAGAGAGGCCCTATCGGGCTCAGCGTCCAGG